TGTAGGGAGGAGACAAATTATGGGCAGGCTTAAAGTGCATACGTTTTATCCCATAAGCTCAAGAGCTTCTTAAGCAGTTGAATTTTTTATGAAAATCTGGCAAAAAAATCAGAGGTTCTATCAATTGAAGAATGGGATGAGGTTGGAAGCAGGGTTATCAGTTATGTATGAGGTTGTTGATGCAATAATCTAATTATGAGGTGATGAAAATTTAGACTAACTTGCTGGCAGTGAGAATGGAAAAGGAAGGACTGAATGTGAGAGACATGTCAAAGGAAAAATTCAGACATAATTATTATATCCCCAACTACCCCCAGCTATCTGTTCTGTCTTGGGTGGGGCAAGAGTGACCTCAGTCATTAGTTAAGTATATTCCTAGCTCATGGCAATTGGCCAGAAGCAGGGGTGACTGGTTAGATTGCTGGTCAGCTTCAGCCAGCAGAACCCTAAACAATATAGGAGAACCAGGACTTACTTTACCAGAAGTCACTAAAATTTAGAAGGTGCTAATAGCCAATAGGAGGCAGTTAGATGGCACAGTGAACAAAGTGCTGGGCCTAGAGTCAGGAAGACTCATTCTCATGAGTTCAAATCTGGCCTCAGACACTTACTAACTGTGTGGCCATGGGCACAGTCATTTAACCCCGTTTGCTCAGTTTCTCATCTGTAAAAGAACTGGAGAAGGCAATGGCAAACCACTCCAGTATCTGCCTATAAAACCCCAAATGGGGTTACAAAGAATCGGACACGACTGAAAAATGACTGAACAATAGCAAATAGCACTGAAGAAGGAAGTAGCAACTAGGGAGAGAAATGGCAAACTACTTAAATATCTTTGCCAAAAAAACTATGGACATTATGGTTCACAGGGTCATGAAGAGTTGAACAAGACTGATGGACTCAGCAACAAGGACTGCAACAATAGCACTTTGGTCCCTTCTGCAGTATAAAGACAAATTAGCTTAGCACCTAGTTAGCAAAGATAATTAACAGGAATAACCAAGTTTCTCCCTCTGTCATAGGTTCCAAATAGTAACCTTTAAGATGTCCTTGTGTCTCCAATCACAAGGATTCTGGCCCTCTCCGCAAATGAGTTTTTCTTTTAAAGTTAGAGGGATTTTTGTTACTTGACCCGTAGTATGTTTTGCTCTGGGCACCAAAGTCACTAGCTAAAACCCTATCCCAAGGCTACGTGGGGCAGGCCAGAGTCAAGACGGGTTATGTTCACAGACAGTACTTTGGTTACGGTCTTGTTCAGGGAAGCAGGAATCAAAACAGGCTCGAACAAAAATCAAGTTTGAGCAGCACCAGGGAGAACTGCTTATTGAACTCTTTGCTGTGATAAATGTTTGAAACATATGCTGCTCCTTTATCCCTGACAGGTCAAGTCTCAGCAGACCACTCTAGGTTTAGTAAGAACCAGGCTTTTGGGAGCAGATCTGATCCAGTGAACAAAGCTGATCTTTATCTACCCTAGAACCTGCAGTCTGCTTGTGCCTACAAGCAGACTACTTCTTCCAACTTGATTATGGCTGGTCATATACTAAGAGGGAGAGTTAAGGAAAATTGACACTGGTTCCCACATTCAGTGCCATCCTTGAATTTTCACTCGAACTCACCCCACATTTCCATTCCATTGCCAAATCTAGTTGTTATTACCTTTACAACATCTCTCAAATAGGTCTCCTCCTCTCTCATGTAGCCACTACCCTAGTTTAAGCCTAATTCAGAAAATACTATAGCCATAAATGTGTATTTCCTCATAAAGTAGACTGTGTTAGTTAGAATTCTTTTCTCACATTTAAAATACAATCAGATTAGCCAGATTTGGAGGGGGTTAGAGGAGGTGTGGCTGTGCGTGTCCTTAATCTTCTTCACATTGAAAATGAAAGTAGGTCATCTGACATTATCAATTTTGATTACTACAGCAGCAGTTATAATAATAACTGCCATTTATATGGCACTTTAAAGTTTACAGATACATATATATATTATATATATATATATTATATATATGTTATCATCATAACCCTGGGAGGTGGATGCTAGGTGTTATTATCATCCCATTTTACAAATGAAGACACTGAGGTAAACAGAGATTAAATGACTTGCCCAAGGTTAGGTCACATAAGTATTTGCAGCAGAGGAGTGATACCTAATTGAACAGGTCTTGTAGGTTTCTGAGCAAAGCAGTTTGACATCATTGTCATCATGTGTGGGATTGATAGGAGGTAGGAGAGACCAGAATCAAGGAGGACAGGTAGCTCTTTCCAGTAATCCAGCAGTAAGACCATAAAGGTTTAATTGATGGAGTTGGCAGGATGAATGAAGAGGAAGGGGCAAGTGGGAAAGCCATTTCCAAAGAATAGATGATAGGGAATAAAAGAGAAGAATCAAAATTGACGTTAGGGTTTCAAGACAAAAGATTGGTGTTACTCTTAATTGAAATAAGATAGTTTGTGCTGTTATGGGCAGTTGAAATGGTGTAACATTGGGTTTACTGGCTGTTTATTTGTACTTTCGTTAGGAATGATTAGCAGCATTTTGTGTCTAATATTGCCAGAGTACATTTCTGAGAAATAATAATATTGGCCAACTTAGAGCCATGTTCCACTATACCACCCCAGGACAGTTAACTGTAAGGAGAGATTTGGCATTGTGAGCAAGTTTCTTACCTAAGTGTTTCCTTTCCAAAGTGGTTGGATACAGAAAATGAAGTTCAACCACTGTTAATTTTTTTTATTGGTAAGAATTTTTTGTAAGGGAGTTGGAGAGAAGCCATAACTTGTTGAACCTATAGAAGGAAATAAAGGAGTTTCTCATCAGGAGCTATTAAGGAAGAAGAAATCCATAGGATTTGTATTGTTTCCTCATTCCCTTAGCTTCCATCCTACCTTGCTCTTTAATCTCATCTCTGTTTGATACCTTAGGCAACATCAGGGACATAGATCAGAATTCTCAAGATAACAGTTTGCAAGAAGTTAAGCTGCTAAGTAAATATTTAAAGAAAAACTATCCGAACTTGTTGCAACTGTGGGACTAGATCTCAGTTTTCTATGTTTTGCATAATGAGAGTAAACCATAAAACATTCTTTGGTTAATTTTTCCATTCTACCCTACCTGTGACAGTTATAATTCTGTGGGGGAGGGAAGACAATTTTAGTCTCTCCTCACTATAGACCTCAGCAAAGGCCAGTATATTCCTAATATTGCTCCATCACAGAAGTTGCTAAACCAGCATCATGTTGAAGGTGGGAAAGGGAGGGGTGGGAGTTCTAAGTCTACTCCATCATGTCATCTACAAATAAAAAATATTTTTTGCTTTTACCTTTTTTCAAAACAGCATCATCTTTATGTCCTTTTAGATTCTCAGCAACTCTGTGATTCAATAGCTATCATTTTTCCTAATTGGCAGAGAGATAAACTAAGGACAGGCTAGTTAGTTAAAAGAACAAAAAAACAAAAAACTAAGAGTTAATCTTGCCAGGGCGGGGGAGGAGGGAGGAAGCCAGGTGGTGCAGTGGATAGAGCACCAGTCTTGGAGTCAGGAAGACCTGAGTTCAAATCTGTCCTCAGACACTTGCTAGCTATATGACCCTGAGCAAGTCACTTAACCCCAATTGCCTCTTAAAAAAAGTGAATCTTGGTATTCTCAACTCTTATGTCAGTATTCTCTCCACTAGTAACAGAGGTAGAAGAAAAATCAGGTTTAAGGAAAGAGCAACTTCTTTGTCTGCCTCACCTACATACCAAGAATGGTTACAAATAACAAGGCCCTGGAACCATATTTGTCCCCATTTGTTTCATTCTTTTGAGCTGAAAAATGGAAGATATCAAACAATGACATTATGCTCCATTCATGATGAGCTGGGGGGAAAAACCAAACTATTATCTAAAGAATAAAGAGCATTCCTACTGTAATTCCTTTTAGTGGTGTGGAAGTAGGGTCCTTGAAGGAGCTGATGGGGGAACACAAAGTCTGGAAAGTTCTGTCAAGCTGAAAAATTGAGTTTGGGCCTAGCGACTTATGTGAGTCATCCAAGGATCATCTTAGTCGTATGCAAGGGAGCCTTATGACTAGGTTGTTTACAAAGTAATGCACGCTTCAGCCACAGAGGCTCTTAAAGTGTAGAGCAATTCTGTAAAGGAGATACCCACAATAACTGGTAGCACAGGTCCTTAAATCATTTAAGTAAGGGGCAGTTCCACATGGAAGAGTTTTCAAGGTGAATTTACCTTGTTTTGTTCACATACCTCTTTCAAGTTTGTTTTGCAGCAGAAGTAGTTAATGCCTTAAAATAGATGGTGTTTCAGTTTCTATCACTCATAAATGCCATAATTATCTCTGTACCTCTGACTGAAGTACCATTTTGAATTTCTTACAGAAATTCCTACTTTTGTCAAAATGTCTGCACATGTGAATTTTTGTTTTAATCAGTAACTCATCAGATAAATTGGTTGGAAAACAATGCTAATGAGGCCAAAGTCATGGGTCTTTGAAACCTCTGTAGGCTAGTTATTTTCAATAATTTTCCAAGTAAGGTTGCCTTGCAATCTTGATTGTAGCTAACCATTTCATAAAATGCATATTCCAGCTTTGATTATTGCCTTCATATAGAATAACAGCAGTGATCTTCAGCAAGTCATCAACTTTAGGCCTCAGTTTCCTCAACTGTAAAATAAAAGGGTTCTACTTGATAACCTCTCTAAAGTCCTTTTCACAATGAAATCTATGATGGTTATGCTATGTCATGTGTATCATTAGGCTAGGGCCTGGTGAGCAAGTGGATATGAATAGTTTAGAACAAATTCATCATTTCTACTGGAAAAGCAGATGAAAGCATCAGTCTTATTGTAATTTTTGTGACAAAATAATATATGTAACTCAAAGTTTGCTATTCTGGTTGATTTTCTCATGTAATAAAATTTATTTTGAAATTACCCTACTCCATGTTCTTTAATTACCTGCCATTTTGTTCATCATGTTTCTGTTCTTGCAGATATAGCTCGAGATTGGTCAGATTTTGCTCTTTGGTGGGAACAAAAACATTGCTGGCTTTTAAAAACACACTGGACTCTGGATAAATGTGGTATACAGGCAGATGCAAGGCTGCTTTTCACACCTCAGCATAAAATGTTACGCCTTCGTTTGCCAAACATGAAAACTGTGAGACTAAGAGTCAGCTTTTCATCTGTTGTCTTTAAAGCTGTTAGTGATATCTGCAAAACTCTTAGTAAGTACATTTGGAGTGAATCTAACCCTTTGAAAAATCTCTTACTGAAAGAGGACAAGAATAGAATATCTTCTCTATATGTTTCTGTTTTATTAAATTAATTTCTTTTTAAATGTTAATTAATTTATTTTTAGTTTTCAACATTTATTTCCATAAGATTTTGAGTTCCAAATTTTCTCCCTCACCCCAAGATGGCATGCAATCTGATATAGGCTCTACATATACATTCATATTAAGCATATTTTCACATTAGTCATTTTGTAAAGAGGAAGTAGAACCAATGGGAGGAACCAGAAGAAAGAAGAAATTTTAAAAAAGAGAGAGAAAGCAAACAGTATGCCTCGATCTGCATTCAGACTCCATAGCTGTTTTTCTGGATGTGAATAGCATTTTCCGCTGCCCTATACTTTTCACAAACAACCTGAGGAGAATGCAGGCACCAGTAGGATAGAGGTATCTACCTTTTTTGAGTCTCTTCTCTGACTTTCAACTTTCTCCCTCTCTACTAGTTCTTCTCTGCATGCTTAAAAAGACTTCTGATTCTTTTGTTGTCTCAATCTATCATCCTATTTTCCTCTTCCACTTCATTGCCAAACACCTAGAAAGAATACTCCCGACTCATTGCCTCTACTCCCTTGCTAGCTACTCGCTCTTCTATCACTTTCCAATTTCTGTCCTCACTGCTTTATTGAAACAACTCTCACCAAGAACATTAATTATATTCTTATCACCAAACCTAATGGCTTTTTTTTTCTTTTCTTCTTGCCTTTGGCATTTGATGCTTTAGACATCTTCTCCTGGTTACCTTCTACTCTTCTATCTTTACTAAAGGATTCTTAAAGTTCACCTCCAACTACTCTGTTCCTTTTCTTATTTCTTCGATGACTCCTTATCCTCTTATACCTTAAACATGAGTATTTTCTAAGGTTCTCTCCTAAACCCTCTACTCCCTTGGTGATCTTCATTCTGCTTCCCTGGTGCCTTCACAATGCACATTTCACCCCCATCCTTAAACTCTCATTTTATCTAACCATCCCCACTATGTGTCTTCCTATAAGTCTCCTCTCCTTTGTGGCAAAACTCTTTGAGAAACACATCTACAATTAGGATCTCCAGTTGCTCTCCTCTCACTCTATTCTAAAACCCTTTGACCTCATCATTCACATGAAACTCTACTCTCCAAAGATATCTTAATTGCCAAATCTAATGGCTTTTTCTCAGTCTTCATCCTTCTTCAACTCTCTGTAGTCTTTGACACCATCTATAACCCCTTTCCCCCGGATATTTTCTCCTCTCTAGGTTTTTGCAACACTGCCCTCTCCTCCTCCTCCTGTCTGACTGACCACTCCTCCGTCTACTTTGCTAGATCTTCCACCAGGTTCATGCCCAATAACTGTGGATGTTCCCCATGGCTCTGTTTCCAATTCTTTTCTCTTATCCCTCTGTACCAGGGATCAGCAAACTGTGTCCTGTGGGTCAAATCCACTACCTTTTTTTGTACAGCCTCAGCTAAGAATGGTTTTTTACATTTTTGAGTAAAGTTTCATGCTATTTGAAAGTGTAAAAACCATTCTTCGCTCACAAGACTGTATTAAAACTTGTGATGAGCCTTTTTTGGCCCTTAGCCAGTAGTTTGTCAACAGCTCTATACTATTTTTCTTGGAAATCTTATCAGCACCTATGGATTCAATAATTATCTCTATACAGATGATTTCCAGCTCTCTAAATCCAGCCCCAACTTCTCTTCTGAGCTCTGGTCTCATATCACTAATTACCTTTTGATTATCAGGAACTAGATGTCCCATTGGCATCTCAGTCTCAACATATCCACAATGGAACCTATGTTTCCTTACAAACTCTACCATCTTCTGAACTTTCCTGTTATTGTTAAGGCAAAATCATCTTCACATTCACCTAGCATGTCCAATATATTGCCAAGTCTTCATGTTTCTACCTTCAAAACATCTTTCATCCATGGCCCCTTTTCTCACATAGTTGCCACCCTGGTACAAGTCCTTATCCCCTCATGCCTGGACTACTGAAGTAGCCTTCTCATTGGTTTACTAGCTTTGGGTCTTTGTCCTCCTTAATCCATTGGCCTCCTAGTTGTTAAAGTTATTTTCCAACTATATTCCCCCACACCATTCAATAAATTCTAATAGCTCCCTATTACTTCTTGGATCAAATAAAAGTTTTCTGTTTATTACTTAAAGTCATTTACAATCTGGCCCCTTCCTATCTTTCCAGTCTTCTTATGGTTTATTCCCCTCCACCTGTTGTTTGATATGGTAACATTGTCCTTCTCACTGTTCCCTGGACATAACACTCCATCTCCCCTACAGATCTCTTCCTGTTGAAGTTTTTTCCTTCAAAGCTCAACATAAATGACACCCTATTAAAAAAGCTTTCCCATATACACTTCAATTAAAACGTTCTTTCTCTTCTCAGTTTTCTCATAGCTGACTGACTCACCTGAACTCCTATCATATTCTTCCTTGTGTCATACTAATTTGTGTTATGTACCTCCCCTACTAGACTGTATACTTCTTAAGAGCTGGAACTGTCTTTTGTTTGTATTTCTTTCCCCAGTACCTAGCACAATACCTTATGTTTGGTAGCTTTTAATAATAAGTGGCTTTTTAATTGAATTGTTATTTTAGTATTAAGTACACTTTTATTAGAGATTGTCAATTACATTAAAATATACCAGCCAGGTGATGTTTTGTGCTCAGAATAAATGGGACTAGACTGAAAAGAAATTAGAATTAATTACCATGAAGCTTTGTATCTATCTAACGCCAGATTTCCAAATCTAAAAAGACAAAGGCATGAGACATCCATCATGGAAAAAAAAAAAAAAACTTCTCCCTAGGCCATATTAACATCGCCATCACCTTTAATGCAATTATATTCTATATAATCACTCATCACTATTGATATGGTAGATATGTTTTTATTGTGTTGATGTGTTGTAATATCACAATTGCTTCATCAACACTTGGCCCCATTAAATAGCTCTATCTACAGAAATCATTTGCAGAATTTTTATTAAATCATCCCAAGGGGCTTTGAGATAGACAAATTTTAAATTACAAGTTCATATATCTGACTTGTTGACTGACTAGAGTCAATAATCATTTATTAAACACTTATTATGTGCCAGGTACTTTTCTCAGTGCAAAGGATACAATTTAAAGAAGGCAAAACCACAGGTTCCCTGAGAGGTGTGAATTTTACACAGATGCTCTTTCATTACAAAGGGATCCACGAAACATGGGGAATCCTCCCCAGTAGACATCTTCATATTTTGTAGTTTACGAAGAGTGTGGGAGAACTACATATGTGAACCCCCAAAGAAAAAATCTACCAGTTTATACCATTCATTTCAATAATAAAGAACTGAAGTTCTACAAAATTCTTTGCAACATATAGAAATAAATAAAAGACTTACAGAAAGAAAGAAAATAACAGGGTCAGTAAACAATGAGATCAATTGAACTTCTTTCCTAAAATCATCTTTGTAATGGTTCTTAAGGGTTGAATTTAGTATTGCCTTTAACTGTCTTCCCATTAATATATGACTGATGCCAAATAAATATAAATATGCAGTTGAATTAGGATAAGTTTGGTTTAATTGATTTTACTTATAATTGAGAAAATATACATATTATCAATATTTTTTTAAAGTTATAGCGAATAAGAAAATGTAGCAGAGAGGTCCATACAATTCTGAATTCCTTGTTCATTATAAGAGATGAAGATCAGCAATACCCACTGAGGAACTAGCCTTAAAAGGTAGCATGTGAATGTTTTAAGCACATCCCTGATTAAAAGAAAAAGGACAGACTGAGTGATCTCTCAAGGGACCCCACTAAGCCTTATGAGTTTTTGTTGTTGTTGCTGGTGGGAGGTGGAATGTATGTTCATATGAGATAGAATGCTGCCTTTACTTAATTGAGGAGTGAATACATTCTAGATTTTTAGAGCAAATCAAAAGGCTTCGTGTCTATTTCTGGGTCATGATTTTCTTGGCCATTTCTTTAAAAAACTAACAATAGAGATTTGGTATTCAATCCAATTATTTGTGCTTTCAGTTATGCAGTTCAGTTAACCATGTTTGTTGAGTAGATAATTACCTTATCTTCACTCTGATTCATTTCACAGTATAGGGTAACCTCATGCAAATCTCTTTACTTATCTTTATTCCATTATTCCCCACTAAAATAATTTTTTTTTCATTTACTTCTTAAGAACTTTCTGAGCAGTAATGACTTTGATTCAGTAAGCTTTTTTTTTTTTTTTTTTTGGAGTGAGGCTTTTGGGGTTAAGTGACTTGCCTAGGGTCACAAAGCTAGTGAGTGTTATGCATCTGAGGCTGGATTTGAACTCAGGTCCTCCTGACTCCAGGGCCAGTGCTCTATCCACTGCACCACCTAGCTGCCCCCTCAGTAAGCTTTTATTAAAAGGTCTGTTCTATGCAGAACAGAGTATGCACTGGGTGCTCAGGCATATACAGGGCTATAGAAATTTGAGCTATTGTGATTGTTGCCATTATTAAACAAGGTATGTCCCTGCCCTCATACATATTATAGTCTAGTTAAAAGGTGAAATGAATACAAATAGCTAATATGAAATAATGCATAATAAGTGCATTAGAGAAGTATTAATGCCAATGTGTAAAGTTGAGGGAAAATACTCACTGTCAAGAGGTTTCATGGAAAGGTAGACATTTGAATTGGGCTTGATGGTAATTTTAAAAAGTTACTAGGGCAGCATGGAGGTAAGAAACAGTAAAAACAAAAACATGGTGACAAGAAAATTCAGAATGTGTTACATAATAGAGTCCAGTTTGGCTGGAACATTGAATATTTAGAGGGAACTTCTATGAATAATTATATTGGTCAGGTTGGGTGGTACTAGACATGGAAGGAACAAAATTTTACATTTATTATTGCTTAAAGTCTTGAATGATACTGATGTTTTTTCCTTTGTTTTTAAGATATTAGGAGATCAGAAGAGCTCTCTTTGTTAAAACCATCAGATGATTATTTTAAAAAGAAAAAGAAAAAAGAAAAGAGTAACAGAGAGCCTATAATTGAAGACATTTTAAATTTAGACAACTCTGTAACCATTTCAGGTTCTCCAGGTAAGACTACAAACAAAGTAGCTCTGTGTTTATGTTTACAACATTTCTTAAAAATCAAGAAAAAATTTATTCTTGTTCTTTCCTACACTAAAAAAAATTGCTCTAATTAGGAAATATCCCAGTATCTTTGAAATAAGCTTATTGTAATTTTCTCTAAGTTCCTTTTAAAGAATTCTTGACAACTTATGAAAGCACTATTATTTTGCTAACAATCTACAAATCCAGTGGCATAGCTATAAATTGGAGAGGCACCAATCAAAAATTTCAAAGAGTTTGATAATTATAAAATGAACAAGCCTCTGTTTCCCTTACAATACAGGTCTAGCTACTTGGGCAGTATTTACTCCTAGGAGTAAGGGAGGAGGAAATCTGTAGCTCCCCTATGCAAACCAAAGCCAGGTGAGTTATTAACACAAGCTGCATACTAATCTTCAGGAAGGGAGTATTTAATTTAAAGAATTTATCTGGAATGGTTATGGTTTGTAACTGGAAGATAGACTTGAAAGTCCCTACTGACGTTGTAAATTCTCCTTTTTAAATTAGTAGGTAGGGAGTATTCCCCTTGCTCTGAAAGCTGGATGAGTTAACTTGGGACGATTTCAGCCACTGGGTCACAAACGCTTTCAGGAGCTATCTCAGAAGTAGCTATACCTATCCATAAATCCTATAAATGCTTTTTATCTACAGGTGCTTAGGGACCATGATTCATAAAGTAGATTGTGTGAATTTTTTATGGCTTAAAATAGGAAACTTGTTCTGGTACAATAGAGAGTTGGTATTAAGAAGATTTGGCTTCTAGTTAAGTGTCTAAAGCCTATTGGCTGTGTGGCCTTAAACTACTCAGTGCCCCTGGCCTTTCTCTCAGATTACAAATTGCAAAACAGTAGAAAGAATTTTTTCATTGGGAGTTTCTTAACAACAATAACACTATGGATCAAGCTTCCCTCCAAACTGTAGCATTAGTGATTTGATATTGTTTTTAATGAGGTATATTGTTGTTACCTCTAAGTCCCATATTACATTTTGAGTTCTATTTGCCTTACAGTAAGTCCTGGCTTATACAGTAAAACAATGACTCCTATTTATGATCCTGTCAATGGAACGCCTGTTTCTTCAACCATTACTTGGTTCAGTGATAGTCCTCTGACAGAACAAAGCTGTAACATCCTTGCTTTCAGCCAACCCAGCCGCTCACCAGAAACACTTGCTGAAATGTTCCAGCCTAGGTCTCTAGTTGATAAAGCCAAACTTAATGCAGGGTAAGGATACCTCGCCTCATTGCGTCATTGTGAGCTGGTATTTGCATAATAATGTAAATGCTTATGTTGGGGTGCTGTGTACTTTTAAAAAAAATCCATACTGATTTTGAAATAGAAGTCGGGATTTGGACATTTAAGTAAATTTTAAAATTTAATGAATTTGACATACCCAGCTTGTATATTGCTTCCTACTGTATCTCTGTGGTTGAAGTAGAAGGAGAACCATGCAGAATTTCTAAGCTCATATTGTTCCTGAAGGCTATCTTCAAAGCCATTTCTTTATGGATGCTTTCTTACATTTTTTTTTTGTTTGTTTAATGGATTGAGTGAACTGCAACAGATAAGAGATAAGGAACTTGGAAGAGCTGGATGTCACCAAGGAAATATCTTAACAAAAAACAAAAAACGGGCTTCTAATATGGGCAGAGAAAGGAATGATAGCTAGACAGCCTAGATGCTCCACTCATATCCTCAAAATGTCAAGTAAAAGTGAGGAATTGAGAGGTCCCACTGTGGTGAACTTATGGGGAACATGGAAAAGAGTTGTACAGAATGAGCAGGCATGGATGGGCTGTTCCATCATCGGAGGGGTCACACACATGAATGGGATCACAAATATGTTTAAGAATCTAAGTATACTATTTAATAGTAATAATAATAATAACAACACATACAGCACTTTTAAGTTTACAAAGTACTTTACAAATATTATTTCATTTTATCCTCACAACAACTCTGAGAGATAGATGCTTTCATTATCCCCATTTTACAGATGAGGAAACTGAGGCAGATAGCACTTATGTGATTTGCCCAGGGTCACATAACTAGTAAGTGTCCAAGGCAGGCTTTGAACTCGGCTCTTCCAGACTCAAAACCCAGTGCTTTATCTACTACACCACCTACCTGCCTCTGTTGATTATAGAATAAGCATTCCACTATTTCTGGAAGTCTATAATCCTTTGTCTTAAACTTTAGGTTGTATTTTTTGCTTTAAGAAATAAGATACAGGAGCAGCTAGGTGGCACAGTGGATACAGCACTGGCCCTGGAGTCAGGAGGACCTGAGTTCAAATCTGGATTCACACAATTGACACTTACTAGCTGTGTGACCCTGGGCAAGTCACTTAACCCCATTGTCTAGCCCCCCCCCCCCCAAAAAAAGATACAGTTTGTGAGGTGAGCAGAATAGGAGAAGTGGAGTCCTATATTCTAGACCCAATTTCACTAACCTAGGATCTTGGAAAGTCATTTTTCATTTAACCTCTCAAAACTGCAGTTTCATCAGCCATCAAATGGAGGTGAAAATTTCTGCCCAGCCTACCTCACAGGAACTTTGTAAGGATCAGTGAACTAATTTATATAGAAATCTTTTGAAAACTATAAAGCATTATACAGCTGTAAGCTATTACTATTCAGTAGTCTTCCTCATCAGTTACTTGTTTGGCTCAATCATTCTTGCCTAGTGACTTTATTTCAAGAATCTAAGTGTAAGAAGAAGCCATGGTACAGTGGAAAGAGGACTGGATTTGAAGTCCAAGGACTTGAGTTCAAATGTAGCCTCTGCCATCTACTACCAGTGTTTCCTTGGGCAAATCGCTTACTGGTCCTCATTATCCTTATCTGGACAATAAGGGGTAGGAATGTGGGATAGATGTCCTCCTAAGGTCCTTTCTAGCTTTGTTTATGATATCGTGAAATTAATTTTCTTTGTAACTCAATTGTTTTCTTTTTCCAGTTGGCTAGACTCATCCCGCTCTCTTATGGAACAAGGCATTCAGGAAGATGAGAAACTATTGTTACGCTTTAAATACTACACATTCTTTGACTTGAATCCCAAAGTAAGATCCTATTTTTTGGTCACATTCAAATCAAAGTATGAATTCCAAGCATGAAAAAAAGTTATAGTCAAAATAAACTGATAGTCTGACATCTATTTAGTGATATCATTTTTAGAATGATAAAATGTGTTTAGTGTTTTACATTTCTGCATTGTATTTTGTTTGACCATTATAACCAGCTCTTAGCTAGAATTTAATAGATGTCATATGCATCTTCCAGTTTCTTCTCTCCTCCCTTTAACTGAAATCCCATGGGTCTTTTAAAGTCCAACTCCTTCCAAAGACACCCTCTCTGATTTGTCTAGCCCACGCTGAGCACTCCATTCTTTGATGTGCTTTTCTACTTCTAGTAAAAGGTGAAAGATTTATTGAAAATAAAGAAAGCCTTGAATACTTCTAATAAATACCATGCTATTTAGGACTGAACTTCTCTCATTTGTTTCATATCTGTTGGTGGTGGTATCTCTCCTGCGAGTTGTTATTGAAGACTCTACTGATACTTCTTCTGTATCCTCCACTGTGCTGAGCCATAGCAAGTGTTCACTAAAGACTTGTTTGGGTGATTGATATAGCACAGGAACTGTGAGTCAGACATGGCTGATATGTGACCCTGTCACAACTTCCTGGCAAGAGAAAAGCCCTTGTGCTTAGTCTTTGAGGCCCAGAATTCCCATACTGTCGTCCTTCTTTGTCAGTACCCATTGCAGATTATTTGCAGCATTTCTGAAGGTGAATTAAAAGTGCCCTTTAATGTTAAGTACCCTGATGAATATTACGTGAATATTACATGAATATCAAACATGGCCTGGTTATATGAAACATTTTCCTCATGTAGAAAAAGCATTAGTGGAAAGTTCAGTGTCAGAAACAGTTGTTATTATTATGAATAAATAGTGAGGTAATAGGCAGAGTACCTTGCATGTCTAAATTCATGTACTATAAATTTCACAATGACTTGTATTCTTTAAGTTAAAGTGACTTGAGTCTCCTGCTATTCTTGCAAAAAAAAAATGGAGAGATGTCAGCTACATAGATGACAGTACATTTGGATGGTTTTGTCACTGAATAAATGACTGGACCAAAGAAAGAGGATCATAAATTTAGAACTTGAAGGAACCTTGGGGAAGTGGTATAGAGGAAAGAGAGCTATCTTTGGAGTCAGAGGACCTGGGTTTGAATCCCAGTTCTGCCACTTATACTGTGTGACCCTGGACAAGTCTCTTAACTTCTCTGGCCTTCAGGTTGCACATCTATAAATATAAAATGAGGGAATTAGTCTAGGAATAAGCTTCCTTCCAGCTCTGAGTTTATAATGTTACTGTCCTTAAAAACTGAAAAGTATAACCCATTGTATAACATAGGTTACAAAAAAGATGTTGATAGTCAAGAAAATTGATTGATTCTAGTCAGATGCAATTTCACAGGAATAAATGTATCTTACACTTTGATTAAAAAAAAACTTCACAAGTACAAGATAAGGAAAGCTGTTTAGATGGTAGTTTGAAAAGTATTTGAAGGTTTTAGTGTACTGCGAGTACTATGTGAGTCAGCTGTATGATGCAGCAGCCAAAAAAAGCTGATATGTTGAGCTAACTTGAAAGATATAATGCCCAGGATTAGGTAAATGAGAGTCATACTGAGCACTGCTTTAGTCAGACCAACCCAGAGAATGGTTTTCAGTTCTGGGTGCCATATTTTAGAAAGCACAGGGATAAGCTAAGAGATAGCCCAGAAAAAGCCAACCAGGAGGATGAAGTGGCCCAAGGTCATGGCAGGGATTAGCCAAAGGAACTTGAGATGTTTCTGCTGAAAAAGAAAAGCCTTGGGCAGTGGGGAATGGTAGCCATCCTCCAATATTTGGAGGGCTATAAAGTGGTAAAGGAATTAAGAGTTGTTCTTCATGGCCTCAGAGAGTGGAGGAGCAGTGGATGGAAGCCTCAAAGAAATGACGTTAGGCTTGATATAAGGAAAAACTTAATAACAACTGGAGCTGCCCCAAAGCAGCGTGGATGCTTTGAAAAAGAGTGAGTGGGTCCTTTCTTGCTGGAAGTCTTTAAATAAAGGATAGATGACTGCCTGTTAGGGAAGTTGTTAAGGGAGGGGATTCTTGTTCATGTACGGATTATATTAATACCATTAGAGATCTCATCTAACTCTGAGATTATGATTTAAAATAACTTCATTTTGAGACTGTTTTTTAAGAATTGTGTGACATTCTCTAAGACAGGGATGGGAAACCTACGGCCTCGAGGCCACATGTGGCCCTCTATGTCCTCAAGTGCGGCCCTTTAACTGAATCCAAACTTCACAGAACAAATCCCCTTAATAAAAGAATTTGTTCTGTAAAAATTGGACTCAGTCAAAAGGCCTCACCCAAGGACCCAGAAGGCCATATGTGGCTTCCAGACCTTAGCTTCCCTACCCCTGCCCTAAGATGTTCTCAAAACAATAATTGAAAGTCACCCTTTTTGGTTCTCCAACCATCCTCTGACTTACTGAAAGCTTCATATCTAATTTTACCTTTATCTCTTCATGACACCAGTGAGAGACGTGTCTGAACAATTTTTTACATTACCTGCTTATCTGGCAGTGTGATTTGCTGATTTTGGCTTAATTAAAATGTTTATCTCATGTTCTTGATCTTTTCTCTGAGAAACTATGATTATGTGTAAATGACAGGTGAAACACAGAAAATGATAGAATCACACAGAACTTTAGAGTTGAAAAGGACCTCAGAGGTTATTTAGTACAACCCCCATCTGAATTATGAATGCCACCAAGAGTATCCTAAACAAATAGTCATCTCACCTCTTGATTGAAGAATTCCAGAGATCGACTACTCCCTACACCCAGGGGGAGTCCATTCCATTTTTGGAAAGCACTGTTAAGAAGTTTTTCTTTACAGTGAACTAAAATCTACCTTCCTGTAACTTTCACCCATTGTTCATAATTCTCTCATTTACAACCAAGCAGAAAAAAAGTATTTTATCTCCCATGTGATGTTGTAAGCTAATAATTCCATTTGGGAATTGTCTGAGCCCCTTATTTTCCATTCCTTCTTCCTCCCCCTACCTACTATTCACCATTTTCACTATTTATTAATATAGTTACCAGCTCTGGTCCCAGACCAAGTCCTACTTGGTCACTGTTTGGGCCCTGATTGGCTCAGAATGAATGTAAATAACAATTATTTCTGTTTTGGCCAGAAACCCTGAGGGTCTTCCTCTCCCCAATCTTTTTTTTTTTAAGAGGCCATTCTTTGCCTCATTTTTTTAAAGCCGTAATCACTGAATGGGTGCTGCCTCAGCCAAACTGAGACCTGTTAAAGACCTTTGCTTGAAAAGGCCAAGGTCCCCCACTGCATCCTGGGCCATCTCCAGTTGTCCTGATCCATGTCTGGCCATTGGACCCAGATGGCTGCAGAGGTGAAAGTGAGGCTGTTGACTTTACACAACCCTTCCTCACTTAAATCCAATTCACTTGCATGTCATGGCGTCATGTCCCTGATGTCATGGTTCTCTTTTCAAGAATGAAGACAAATAGCAAGAGAGCAAGGAAAGATGAAACAGAATAATACATTGGACTTCTTATCAGTAACTCTTGAAAACATTTCTTCATGAGAATGAGATCCAAATTAAGGGCTAAAATAAATTGAGGGAACAAGGATCATAGTTTCTGTGTCTTTGTACTAGCCCTCTCCCTAATTAGCAGAGGTTGTCAACAGTAGTTGACATCTTAGTGTGTTGCACAGGTTAGCTAACAATGTAGATACTTCTAATAATGTTTGAACTAATGAATGAACAAATGGATTTAATCTAAAATTTGCAAGTTAAGAAATATAATCTTTTCTCTCCAAACTCTTTCCTCTTTTAACTACAGTATGATGCTGTTCGAATAAATCAACTTTATGAACAAGCCAGGTGGTCCATTCTCTTAGAAGAAATTGATTGCACTGAGGAGGAGATGCTGATCTTTGCTGCTTTACAGGCATGTATCAGGTTGTGGGCAAGTGGGCAAGGAGAGTTGGAGCCATGAAAAGAATCCATTGGAAAATCTATTATCATGCCAAATTGCTTAAAGTTTTCAATCTTGTGATTTTTTTTTCTCTTGAGTGAGGGTACAGAAAGCAGGGTTTGTTTTTGTTTTTGTTTTTTTACATTTTAAAATGGTCAGCAATTGAATAAGCCATTAATGAACTCCCTAGGAAAAACATCTCCAGGGCCAGATGGATTTACAAGTGAATTCTATCAAACATTTAAAGAAAAATTAATTCCAATACTATTTGGGAAAATAGGCAAAGGAGGAATTCTACCAAATTCTTTTTATGATACAAAGGTTGTGCTGATACCTAAATCAGGAAGAGCCAAAACAGAGAAAGAAAATTATAGACCAATTTCCCTAATGAATATAGATGCAAAAATTTTAAATAAAATATTAGCAAAGAGATTACAGCAACTTATCTCAAGGATAATACACTATGATCAGGTAGGATTTATACCAGGAATGCAGGGATGGTTCAATATTAGGAAAACTATCAGCATAATTGACCATATCAACAACAAAACTAATAGAAATCATATGATTATCTCAACAGATACAGAAAAAGCATTTGACAAAATACCCATTCCTATCAAAGACACTAGACAGCACAGGAGTAAATGGAGTCTTCCTTAAAATGATAGATAGTATCTATCTAAAACCATCAGCAAGCATTATATGTAATGGAGATAAGCTAGAAGCATTTCCAGTAAGATCGGGGGTAAATCAACAATATTTATTATCACCATTGTTATTCAATATTGTACTAGAAATATTAGCTTTCTCAATAAGAGAAGAAAAAGAAATTGAAAGAATTGGAATAGGCAGCTATCACTCTTTGCAGATGATTTGATGATATACTTAGAGAATCCTAGAGAATCAAGTAAAAAAATTACTTGAAATAATAAACAAATTTAGTGAAGTTGCAGGACATAAAATAAACCCACATAAATCATCAGCATTCCTATATATTACTAACAAAGCCCAACAACAAAAGATAGAAAGAGAAATTCCATTTAAAGTTACTGTAGACATTATAAAAGATTTGGGAGTCCACCTGCTAAAACAAACCCAAGAACTATATGAACAAATCACAAAACACTTTTCACACAAATAAAGTCAGATCTAAATAATTGGAAAAATATCAGTTGCTCATGGGTAAGCCAAGCTAATGTAACAAAAATGACAATTTTACCTAAATTAAATTACTTATTCAGTGCCATACTAATCAAACTACCAAAAAATTTATTTTATAGAGCTAGAAAAAACAGTAACAAAATTCATCTGAAAGAACAAAAAGTCCAAGGGAAATAATGAAAAGAAATGCAAGGGAAGGTGGCCTAGTTGTACCAAATCTTAAATTGTATTATAAAGCAGCAATCATCACAAGTACTTGATACTGACTAAGAAATAGAGTAGTGGATCAGAGTGGAATAGGTTAGGTACTCAAGACCCAATAGTCAATGACTATAGCAATCTACTATTTGATAAATCCAAAGACTAACTTCTGAGATAAGAACTCACTATTTAACAAAAACTGCTGGGAAAACTGGAAAATAGTATGGCAGAAACTAGGCATAGACCTACATCTTACACCCTATACCAAGATAAAGTCAAAATGGGTACGTGATTTAGATCTAAAGGCAGATACTATAACCAAAGTAGGAGAGCAAGGAATGGTTTACCTTTCAGATCTGTGGAGAAGGGAAGAATTTATGACCAAACAAGAGACAGAGAACATTATGAAATGCAAAATGGATGATTTTGATTACATTACACTGAAAAGGTTTTGCACAAATAAAGCCAATGCAGCCCCAATTAGAAGGGAAGCAGAAAGCTGGGAAACAATTTTTACAGCCAGTGTCTGTGATAAAGGTCTCACTTCTAAATATATAGAGTACTGAGCTGAATTTATAAGAATATAGGTTATTCCTCAATTGATAAATGGTTAAAGGATATGAACAGGCAGTTTTCAGAGGAAGAAATTAAAGCTATCTATAGTCATATGAAAAAATGCTCTAAATCACTATTGATTAGAGAAATGCAAATCAAAACAACTTTGAGGTACCATATCACACCTATCAGATTGGCTAACATGACAAAACAGGACAATGGAGAAGATGTGGGAACACTAATGCATTGTTGGTGGAGTTGTGAAATGATCCAACCATTCTGGAGAGCAATTTGGAACTATTCCCAAAGGGCTATAAAACTGCATACCCTTTGACCCAGCAATACCACTTCTAGGTCTGTATCCCAAAGAGATCATAAAAACAGGAAAAAAACCCACATGTACAAAAATATTCATAGTAGCTCTTTTTGTGGTAGCAAAGAATTGGAAGTTGAGGAGATGCCCATCAATTGGGGCATAGCTGAACAAGTTGTGGTATATGAATGTAATGGAATACTATTGTGCTTTAAGAAATGATGAGCAAGTAGACTTCAGAAAAACCTGGAAAGATTTATATGAATGGATGCTGAGTGAAATGAGCAGAAGCAGGAGAACATTGTATGCAGTAACAACTACGTTGTATGACGACTGACTTTAATACTTAGCTCTTCCCAGCAATGCACGGATCTAAGACAACTCCAAAAGTCTCATGATGGAAAATGCTATCCACATCCAGAGAAAGAACTGTGGAGTCTAAATGTAGATGCAGGCATACTACTTGCTCTCCTTTTCTTTTGTTGTTTTGTTTTGTTTCTTCTTTCTCATGGTTTCTCCCATTAGTTTTAATTCTTCTTTATATCATGACTAAGGTGAAGATATGTATAATATGAATGTATAAATAGAGCCTATATCAGATTGCATGCCTTCTTGGGGAGGGAGATGGGGAGGGAGTGGGAGAAAATTTAAAACTCAAAAGCTTATGGAAGTGATTGTTTAAAACTAAAAATAAATTTTGAATGGTCAGCATAACTCACAAAAAATAGTATATCTGTATAGGTATACATATATAAGTGTATATGTACATATATCCATATATGTATACACACAAATATATGTGTGTATGTATGCTCACTTCAAGAATCTGTGGGTGCTCCTTCCACTAAGGGAGATTACAACTTTGCAAATGGTCTTCAAAAATTGTTGTGGCTGAAAAATTCACCAACAGTTGTTGAGCCTCTCCAAACTAAGCTAAGCAGGTCTTTTGGACAATAGACATAGTCCATCAATGGATGTATAGTTGAAATCATTATAATTTGGTCAGGCCTTTGTTTTGAGCCTTTTCAGAATCGATGGTCACATGCCTATCATGATAAAGCATCATGGTAGGGTTGAAGTACGAGTCACACATGTGTATATATGGAAGCATTATTCTTTCCATGCTAGTATCTAAAGAATTCTTCCCCTGACAGCAGGAAAATTGACTAGAGAGAGTGGTCAATTATGATTTGATAGGTTTTAAGTAATAGTTTCCAAAAATCTCAGAATGACTATATAAAAGGATTATTTTAAACTCCCTGCATATTTCAAAGAATGTTCACTGTTGGTAACTATTTGATATTGAGATGAGGCAGAGATTAGCAATATAAATTTTGGATGCTAAAATAATATTTTTGTGTTTATGGCATTTTAAAAATTTCATCTTTTTTTTTAAAGTATCACATAAGCAAATTGTCATTGTCAGCAGAAACTATGGATTTTACAAATGAGTCTGAAGTGGATGAAGTAGAAGCTGCCCTCTCTAACCTGGAAGTCACATTAGAAGGTGGAAAATCAGAAAACATTTTGGTATGAGTTTCCCTTATGTGAAATGATCTCAAAATAATGACTATGTTTTTATACCTAATTGATTCTTGAAATTGATTATTCCATTTTGTTTTAGAACATTTAACCTAATTTATCAAAAGAAAAAAGTTCTCACTCTAGGTGGATTTAAATTCATTTTTCTGATCTGTGTACCTGGGAGATAAAAGACTAAAGCTCTGTCTCTTGGAGGTGACACTTTGAATGGAATTGAGAAATTCAGGATTATTTGACCACAAAAATAATTCGCATGATTTTCAAATGACTCAACTATTAAAATGAGGCCCAATTTTCAGACAGACACAGTGCTGGAAGAGTACTATCTACAGAACCTCTGTTTTTCTGTTTCTGTGATAAATAATTCTTTGGGACGAGATCCTAAAAATTATGTGAGAGCACATAATAATCATTCGCTGTGAGTTTTTTCTGCTAGGTTACTTACTCGTTGGGTCAAAAAAGACAGCATTTCAGATAGGCAAAATGTAGCATATGTATAAAGTTATTCAAAATGTCAGGATTTTTAAAATTGTATTTTTCACTTGGAAAATGATGTCCCCAACTCGTTCCAATAAAAATAATATGGCCTAACCAAAAAAAAAAAAAAAAAGGAAAGAAAAGAAAAAAGTTCTGGATCTTGGGTAAACCCATCACTAAGACCTGAATGCACTTTCACAGATAATAGATATATACATTTAGAGGGCTAATAGCCACAACAAGGAGTAAAGTTAGGCACTGAGAATAGAAAGACAAAAAAAAAAAAATGAAACATCACAGAGCTCTTCTACTGGAGGATCTGGGGGTTGGGGAAGAACACAACACGTGCACAGATAAATGTAAGTTGAGAGGGACAGGACACTAACGGGCACTCAGAGAAGGCATCATGAAAGAAGTGGTATTTGGGCAAAGCCGTAAGAGATTATAACAGGCAAAGATAAGAGTAGATTCCAGGAATAAGGCAATAACTTGTGCGAAGGCACACACATGACAAAGGGATTGTCATATCTAGGGAACACTTAGGAATTTAGTGTAGGTGAATCAGAGAGTTCCACAAGGAGAGTAATAAAAAGACAGCATAGAGTAGTTCAAAAAGTGCTGGACTTAGGTTCTGAAGACCTGAGTACAAATCTGGCCTCAGACCCTTACTAACTAGGTGAACAGGGCAAGGGACTTAACCTCTCACAGCTTCAGTGTCTTTATCTGTAAAATGAAGTTAATGGCCCCTACATCAGGTAGTTCATAGGGTTGCTGTCAGGATAACTGTCAGCCTTAAATACTATCTCGATTTGAATTACTATTTTTAAAGGTAGGTTGGAGTCATGTTTGGAAGGCCTCACATGCCCAGGCTGAGGAGTTTATATTTTATTCTAGAGGTAATAGGTAGACACTGGAAGTTTTGAACAAGAGAAGGATGTGCTTAGATCTGTCTATTTGGAAGAATGTTTTGACAGCTGGGTGGAACATTGGTTGAAGAAAGGAGAGAGTTGAAACAGGAAGACCAAATTAGAGGCCATTAGTAATCTAGGGGAAAGGTGATAAGGGCCTGAATTAGGGTCACAGCTATATGATTGGAGAGAAAGTGGTGGTTATGAGAGACATTAAGGAGATAGAATTGATGAAACTTAGCAAGTGATTATGTTTTACTGTTGGCAGAATTCTTTTTTTTTTTTTTTTTTTTTTGGTGAGGCAATAGGAGTTAAGTGACTTGCCCAGAGTCACATAGCTAGTTGCAGAATTCGCAAAGTATCGCATCTCTTGTTAAGGAAGGGGAAGGGAGCAAGCATTTATTAAGCACTTACCACGTGTCAGGCATTGTGCTTAGTGTTTTACAAATATTGACTCGTTTCATTCTCACAACAACCCTGTGAGGTAGTTACTATTGTTATCCCCATTTTACAGATAAAGAAACTAAGGCTGATGTATCAAGTGACTTGCCCAGGATGGTACAGTTAGTAAGTGTCTGAGCTGGGATCTGAACTTCTGTATCTAGGCCCAGTACTCTGACCACTGTGCTGCCTATCTGGCTCTAAGGACCAATTAATTAATATGGTGGATAGACAAAGCACTGGACCAGGAATCGGGGGACACGGCTCTGAAACTATGTGTGATTTGTGGCTAGTCACTTAACCTGTGTTTGATTCCTCTTTTGCAATATTAGACTAATTTGACAACATTTGCCCTACCTACTTCAGTGACTTTCTGTTAGGATTAATTGAAATAATGGACTGGCATATTATAAAATGTTTCAAAACCGTTTGAAGAGGAGAGAGTTAAGAAGTTTGAAACACACAGAACAAACTGTTAAGCGCTGTAAACAAAAAAAATCTCTAGTAAAATTTCATTCCTTTCGGCAACGCTTCAGCCAACAATGGGATCACTGCTCCTACTTGATTCGGTCATTGACTTTCTACTACCTTTTGTTGGCCTTCTTTATCTTAGAAATAATTATAACCTTAATGATATTGACACATGATGAGAGAGGAAGTGAGCTGTTTGCAAACAATTACTGACCTATAAATAGTAAGAAGGAGAAAGAAAAAGCTCATAACTGTGAGATGATAAGAATTACACATTTGGTAGGTGTATGCACACTTTCTTAATCTAAAAACTTTAAATGGGAAGATCCGTTCAACAAACATTTATTAAGTGCATACTGTGTACAAGACAGATGAGAATAATAATTGGCATTTATATAGCAGTTTTAAAGTTTGTGAAGCACTTTTTACACATTATCTCACTTGGACCTCAAAAGAATCCCATGAAGAAGGTTTGGCAGGCATTGTTATGCCCATTTTACGACGAGGAAATGGGTTCAGGGAGGTTATATGACTTACTGTTGCCACACAGCTGATAAGCATCAAAGATTCAATTTAACCCAGGTCTTCCCTCACCTCCAAGTCTAGTTCTGAACCCAAAACTGTTTAAATTAGTGTCATAGAAAAACAAACACCTGAGAAAAAATATATGCCAAACAAATAAATTTAGAAAACTTCCATTGTACCCACTTAAGAAATGAATGTGAAAAAATTGTCTCTGATACTACATTGAAAATAGAGTTACCATGTTGAGGAGTACTGATACTTAATTGGAAACTTAGTTGATTCGAAATGGAAACCCCAGTGCCACTATTCCCATGGATCAATGTGGCACTCTATATTAAACTTAAATCGTAGTTATACGGTAAGGTAGAAGGATGGCAGCTGGATGGCTCAGTGGATAGAGCACTGGGCACGGAACCAGGAAGACTCATCTTCATGAGTTCAAATCTAGCCCCAGACACTTACTAACTATGTGACCCTGGGCAAGTCACAAAACCCTGTTTGCCTCAGTTTCCTCATCTGTAAAATGAGCTGGAGAAGGAAATGGCAAATCACTCCATTATCTTTTGCCAAGAAAAACCCAGATGGGGTCATGAAGAATCAGACACGACTGAAACGACTGAACAGCAACAAGGTGGAAGGAGCACTGGCTCTGCCATCTGAGGACTTGGGTTTAAATCCTTCTGACATTTATTACCTATATGACCTAGGGCAAGGGCAGGTCACCAACACCTTCCACCCCTCATCCCATCTGCACCCTGGGTCTTGTGAAATGGGGAAGTTGGACTAGACAGTCTGATTTCCCTTCTAATAGATGTCATTTAATTTAATCTAATGTAATGTATTTAATTCCACTAAATGCTATGGACACAAAAACACAAGTGGAAGAATCATTCTCTCAAGGATCTCACATTCTATAAAACAACATTTATCATAGGGTCATAGATATGGAGCTAAAGGAGCTTCAGGGGCCGTCTAGTGCATCCCCTCATTTTATAAATGAGGAAACTGAGGATCAGAGAGGTTAAATGAATTGACCCAAAGTCACACAGGTAAGAGGTAGGATTGAATTTGGATACTGCTTCCCGTATACATAAGCATATGCAAAATAAATAAACTTGCAGGGACTAAGAAAGGCTTTATTTAGAACAGGGGTTTTTAGCCTTTTCATATATATATATAATGTTATACATATATATGTCCATTGGCATAGTGATTCACAGTGAAACCTGTGAACCCTTTCTTATAATAATGTTTCTAAATGCACAAGATAGAGAGGATTATATTAAAGTTGTTCAGTCGTTTCAGTCGTGTCCAACTTTTCGTGACTCCTTTTGGGTTTTCTTGGCAAAGATACTAGAGTGGTTTGCAATTTCCTTCTCCAGCTCCTTTTACAGATGAGGAAACTGAGGCAAACAGGGTGAAGAGACTTAACCAGGGTCGCACAGCTAGTAAGTATCCGGGACTGGATTTGAACTTGGGAAGAGGAGTCTTCCTGACTCCAGGCACTCTATCCACTACGCTACCTAGGTATCCCTATATTGAAGTACAGTTATCAAAATATTTTTGAGGGGCAATTAGGTGATACAGTGAATGAAGCTCCAGCCTTGGAGTCAGGAGGATCTGAGTTCAAATCCGGCCTCAGACACATAACACTTAACCCCATTGCCTAACCAAAAAAAAAAAATTTTTTTGAAAATAAAAATAAAACAAGTTCAAGTTAAAAACCCTTGATGTAGAAAGTGTATGCCTGATTTGAGCCTTGAAGGAAACCAGGAATTCCAAGAGGTAGCAGTGAGGAGGGAATATATTCCATGCATGAGGGATAGCCAATAGAAAGTCACAAAGATGGGAGGTTGAGTGTCATGTATGAAGAAGAACAAGTAGGCCTTGCGGCCGGCTGGACCACAAGTGTGTAGAGGATAGTAATGTTTAAGAAGACTGAAAAGGTAAAAGGGGAATAGCTAAGAAAAGCTTTTAAATGTCAGAGAAATGTCTATTAGGACCTTGAGTTTTGGATCTCTGGTCCCGTAACTAGCATTCCTTCTCACATATTGCCTATATTGGAAAGAAAACATGAGACAGTAGTGCTTTTTGTGTAACTTGGTCTTTGGAATATTGTTCTATGAAGTGAAATAATAGACTTTTTCATTTTAAAAGATGCACTTACTTGTATTGTGAAATGGATTTTGAACAGTTTGTTTCGTGGTATTAATCTGATCCACTAATGTTGATTTCCTGTGTAATTTAGAGATCATTTAAAAACAGAATTTCAAAATGTTAAAAATATTGGGCAATTATTGAGTCATTTTGAAAAATATTTCTAAGTTTACTTTTTTCCTTAACTTTGCTTACTTATTAAGTGTTTTTTAACTTGTGTGAAAAATTCTGCCAGTTATAAAATTACTGCTGTTAAAAAGCTGTGTTCTTCTCCATAGGAGGACATTACCGACATACCAAAGCTTGCAGACAATCTCAGATTATTTAGGTGAGTAACTGAAATGGTTACATAGAAGAACCAAGAAATCTTTGGTAATCAAGGTTTATGGATAAGGAATTCTTTGATATTTAATGTCCAAACCCAGCCCCATATTAACAAAGATGAATCATCAACTCTGTATTCCCCTGAGCACCAATCAAGGCCCCAAATGGAAGCTAGGGTTATATACCACAATTAGGGGATCAAATCACTGTGGTGTTTTGAGCTTTCATGCTATTCTTTTAGGTATTTTTCAACTAGACACCACTGGAGTAATATTGAATAAGTGGTAGTCCTACTATAGTAATTAAGTGATCAAAATTAGTTACATGAAAGGTTTTGCCTTAATTTTGAGAAACAAAGGGTCCAGTGGAAGGGAATGAGTGTTGCACTTCAGAGAGTTGTATGATTTTATCTGTCTCTGAATTCAGATAACCTTCACTGTCACCCCATGTAAAGACTTGCTAGGTTGTTGGGGAGTTTTTCCTATAAAAGAAATGATTGTCAAGTCTGTGATAATGTTAAAGGAGTGTTAAGATGAAAGAAATGAGACTTCTTTGAAGTTATATCAGTTACTTATGCCATATTATGATTTGTTGATTTTTCTCAGCAAACAGACTTAGAGCGCTTAACTTCAAAAAACAAAAAAAAATCACCGAAACACTGGCAGGTTTGTTTATAACCAAGTCAAAGGGCAAAGGAAAGACTTTCAAAAAAAGGTTCAATGAATGATAACACATAAATGTAACACAAGTGTTCAAAGGGTGTTTTCTTATATTGTGTTTCTGATACTGAATTACAGTATTTTGTAATTCTGGACATGGATTTATATAGGTATAATCCTGTTTCCCCCTTTCTCACAAATATGCTGAAAAACAAAGTTATAATTGAAAACACAGTTCTCTAGAGATTAGTTTGCTATATTCATTAGCCATGTTAGAGGTCTAGATTATCAAAAACCGAAACATTTACCTATGATTTTTTTGGTAGTTACAGAATTATGAGATAGTATTTCAAAGTGGTTAGAGAGGGCAAGTGCTGATCTGCTTCAGTAGAGATAAATTTCTCAGCCTGTTAGTTTCCTATATGATAGAATCAGGAGTTCAAACTAAAAAAGAAAAAAGAAAACAAGTCACAATATCACAAAATTTCAAAGTCTCAGAAGTCTATCCCATACCTGAACAAGAATCTCCCAAACAACATATGTATTCAATATTTTCTTGAAGATTTCCAGTGAAGGTGGGACCATTTACCTCCCAATTCACTTTGGTGGATTTGTATAATTGTTAGGAAGTTTCTCCTTACATTAAACTCTAATTTGCTTCTTTTTAACTTCAATTTAACAAGCATACATTAAGGACCTACTATACAGCACAGTTCTCTGCTGGGTACACACACACACACACACACACACACAAAATACAACCATTCCTACCTTCAAAGAGCTCGAATTCTATTGGCAGAATACTATCTGTATGCAAGGAAGTATCTGCCACATTCATCCTCCTTCTGCCCTTGAAGGCCAAGAAGAACAAATCTCATCCTCCTTCTAAGTGGTAGTCATTCAAATGTTAGAAAAGAACTATCGTGTCCACACCAAGTCTTTTCTTCTTCAGGCTAAACTTTCCCATCTGCTTATGTTCTCCAGGCTCTTCCCCAACTGGGAACCCTCCTATGGACCCACTCCACATTAGTGCCATAGAATCATAGGATCATAGGTTTAGAGCTACAAGAGACCTTGGACTTTTGACCCTCTAATTTTAAAGAAGAAGAAATTGACCTAAAGAAGTTAAGTTAATCAATCAGTAAATATTTATTAAGTGTCTACATGTGCCAGACACTGTGCTAAGTGCCAGGGATACTAAAAAAAGGCAAAAGATAGTCCCTGACCTCAAGGAACTTACAGTCTAATGGAGAGATATGATGCAAATAAATATATGCAAAGGTAGCTACAAACCAGATAAATAGGAAATAATTAGCAGAGGGAAGGCACTGGAGTTAAGAGGGCTTGGTAAGGACTTTTTGTAAAATGTAGGATTTAGTTGAGATTTAGAAGAAGCCAGGTCACTAAGGTAGTAAGGAGCAGAGCCAAAATTCAAACCCAGATGCTCTGGGACCAGAAGCATCAACTCTGTTCTGCATCTATTTATCAATGTCTTTCCTAAAACGGGCCACTCAGAACTGATACTGTTTGACAGAGGTAGCCTGACTAGGGTATAGCACTACAGGGCTGTAATCTCCCTATTTCTACTTTTCTTACTTCAGCCTAATACTATATTAGTTTTATCTTTTGGCTGCCATATCATACTTTTAACTCATATTGAGTTTGCTCTCTATTAAAACCCCCATATCTTTTTCAGATAAACTGCTACCTGATCATACCTCCCCAATCTTATACTTATGAAGCTGGAATTTTTTAAACCAAGTATAAGACTTTACAATTATCCCTCTTACTTTAATCTTTATTTTTTAAAACATATTTTTATGAAGATGACAGACATTAACAATTATAAACATTTTCTTACATTAAGAATACAAATGGTAGGGGCAGCTAGGTGGCACAGTGGATAGAGCACCAGCCCTAGAGTCAGGAGGACCTGAGTTCAAATTTGGCTTCAGACCCATAATATTTCCTAGCTGTGTGACTCTGGGCAAGTCACTTAACCCTAATTGCCTCACAAAAAAAAAAAAAAGAATACAAATGGAGACTTGCTTATGACATTGTGGAATTCTGTTATTTTAGCTTAGTGGTTTTTTGTTTGTTTTTGTTTTTAATATACATTAAATTTCACGAGGTAGTTCCAACACTGCCCTCATTGTCTGTATCCCCCTGTGAACTTCCTTTTACTTTCATACAGAGGCAGCTGTAAGGGTATGGAGGGACAGCTAGGTGGCATGGTGGATACAGCGCCAGGCCTGGAGTCAGGAAGACCTGAGTTTACTTGTAGCCTCATACAGTTACTAACATAAGTATGACCATTGGCAAGGTACTTAACCTCTATTTGCCTCAGTTTCTCCATGTGTAAAACAGGGATAGTAATAGTACTTATCTTCCAAGGATATCGTGAGAATCAAATGAAATAATAATTGTAAAGCACTTATTACATTGCTTGGCACACAGTAAATACTATGTAAATGTTTGCTATTGATATTAGCCATTATTGCATACATACGTATATACACATGTATTTGATGTTTTATTAACATTTTTTTCTACTTTTTTTGGAATCACTATCACAAACCTTGCCTTGTAACAATTAAGTACAATTAAGCTAAACCTACCACCTACTCATTGGCCCTGTTTGAAAATCTATGCCTCGTTTTGCACCTCTAGAATCACCTCTCTGTCAACAGATCGCCATCAGTCTTTTCAGAGTCATGAATAGTCATTACATTGAACATGGTTTTTAAGTCTTTTACAATCATTTTCTTTTACAATGTTGTAGTCATTGTATAAGTTATTCTGTTTCTGCTCACTTGATTCTGCAGCAATATGTACAAGTCCCACCCCTACCCCCTGGTTACTCTGAATACTCCCTTTTCTTTCAGAAATACTCGGTTACAACCATATACCATAATTTGTTCAACCATTTCTCCACTGATGGGAATTCACTTTGTTTCCAGTTGTGGTTGTGTGTGTGTATGTGTGTGTGTGTTTTAAAATTTGTTGACAGAAATTGCTATTACAAATGCTTTTGTGTAAGTGGATACACAGTGTGTATGCATATTGTGCATGCAATAATATTTTACATTTTTCTTTCCCTCTTTCTTTGAGTTCTTTGGGGTTTGTGTGTACTAGCAGTATTGCTAGGTGAGCAGTAACTTTTTTGGCCAGAGTACCAAATTGGTTTTTTTGCATGACTGGATCAATTCACAACTCCACCAAAAGGGCATTAATATGCTTGTCCTATCACAGCTCCTCCAACTACTAACATTTTTCATTTTTGTCATCTTTGCCAATCCAGTAGCACTTCAGGGATGAGCCCCAGGGTTATTTTAATCTACATTACTCTTATTTTTAGTGACTTGAAAGATTTTTTTCATAAATTTGTTGATAGCTTGTCTTTTATGAACTGTCTGTCCATATTAACTGTTATCTATTGGGAAATGGCTCTTGTTCTTATGTATTTGTTTTCAATATCCTATATAACTTATACATCAGACCATAAACTTTATAGGGAAAACTTAAAGAGAAATTTTCTAGATTCAAAATATTATTCTACCCTGTCAAGATCCTTTTGGATCCTGTAATCTTTTGTTTTATTTTTTCTTCCTAGCTTTGTGTTATCTGTGCATTTGATTAGAAGCCACTTGTGCCTTTATGCATTTATTATCCAAGTCATTAATAAACATATTACACAGCATAGGATCAGGCATATATCCCTGGGACACTCTTCTGGAGACTTCATCCCAAATTAACATTGAGCCATTAATGACTATTCCTGGGATCCAGTCATTCAACAAGTACTAAGTTCACATAATTATGCAATCATATTTCCTGTTCCTCTTTATATCCTCCAAATGTCTCATTAAAATGTAGGCAAATGGGGCAGCTAGGTGGCGCCGTGAATAGAGTGTTGGCCCTGGAGTCAGGAGGACCTGAGTTCAAATTCAGCCTCAGACCTTTGATGCTAGCTGTGTGACCCTGGGCAAGACACTTAACCCCATTGCCTAGCCCCCCCCAAAAAAAATGTAGGCAAATGATATGTCAGGATCACAAATTTAGATCTTGAAGGAACAAACAGTCTAGACCTTTAATTATGCAGTAGTTGATTGAGACCCAGAGAGGTTACATGACTTGGACTAGCCTTGGACTAGCCTGGGGTCGCACAGGTTATAAGTAACTCAGGACCACTGACCTCAAATACAGGTCACTTTTTGCTGTACTGTGTTGCCACCCTACAACATTCTCCTTATTTACTAGCTAATAAACAAGATTGGGGCTTGACGGATTCCTAATAAAGCTATGTGAGCACTTCATGATCACCACCATGTCTTCTTCTAAATATTCATTAACTATCACTTAAATAAATATAAATGCATATGTTTGTGTATATATTTATATATATATGTGTGTGTGTGTGTATACATATACCTATGCACATATACATATACATATATATTATAGGGATAATAATTATATATACATATATATATGTATATATATATAAAATTTTTAAGAATTTTGCCAGGAGTGAAAGGTTACTGGCCTATTCTTGACAGATTCAGTCATAGATCTTTTGGAAAATTGAGACATTGACCCAGCTCTAGTATGCTGAAGAACCTCTGGCAACCATTGGTAGTATTCTTCCATTTGGCATTGTATATAATTCATAGTATCTTTCTCACATTTCTCCTTTCTATCGCTTCTTTTCCAGTTTCCTTTTACTTACCCATTTCTTTCTTTTCCCCTGTCTAGTAGCACCCCCGGAATTACTTCATACTGTTGGTGATCCTCAGGGGTCCAAGGGCTGCTGGCCGTTGCTTAATGATTTTTCAAAACAAATATGTCTTCTAAAATTTGAGATGTTCACATCTTGGCCAGTGCTACCTTTTAAAAATTAATTATTAATTGAAAAATAATATCATTTTAGGCTGAAGTAATTTCCAATGTTAAATGTGTCAAGTAGAAACTAGCAAACTCCCTCATTTTTGTGATGATTATCACAGTTTTGTACTGTTCTCATGAATATTATTTTCTATCTAAGAACTTCCAAAAATCACCAGGTATATGTATTTTCATACAAAAACCTGATTTCAAGTTTTTATAGATAAATTGGTAGGCAGCTGGATATAATTGAAAAAGAACACCATCTAGAGTCAGAAGACTTGTATTCAAATCCTCAATCCCAGGTCTTGTACTAACTGTCTGTGTGACTGAGCAAACCATTTAACCTCTCTAGCCCTCAGTTTCCTCATCCATAAAATGAGAGTGCTGGACTAAATGGCCTCATTCCATCTCTAAATTCTGCAATCCTCATATTACAAAATGATTTAATATATTATAAATTGTATGAAAGAAGCACTAGAGGAGAGTATCTTTCTTTTTTAGTATCCTGTTCAAAATTATATGTGCATTTGTTTTTCTTGAAACCATTAAGCTATTATTCTTTCATTTTCAGATCCAAAAAACTAACATTAAAAACTTTCAAACAGTATTGGTTTGTGTTTAAAGACACTTCAATAGCCTACTTTAAAAATCAAGACCTTGAACAAGGGGAACCACTTGAGAGACTATATCTTAGAGGTAAGAACATTCAATGGTGAATTGAATTATTGTCATTAATCTAACAAATTAAAGGTAGAAGGGTCTTGGAAACTAAGAGATTTAGTCCAGTGGTAAAATTATTTTGCATGAGTGTGAAGTGTATGTTTCATCCCTACCCAAGTATAATCTGCTTGAAGGTCCCATTCCACATAGAGAATAAGCCTTTATTGTGGTACTATAAACTCTTCAATCTAAAATCCTGTTTATTTAAAAGTCTCTATTAATCAGTATTTCCATACATCTGGGGAAAAATAATCAATGTTCCTAACAATGATGCTAAGGTGCTACAAGATCCTGAAGTGCCTTTTGACTAATTAACGCTTAAATTTAATTCAGGATAGTTTTAGCATTAAGTGTTTTTATTGTATTGCAGTCTGTTTGAAAACTGGTAATTCATGTAGGGCATATATGACACTTTCCTCTCTCTTAGGGATGAAATAGGTTCTTAATAATTGTTAAATGATTGAATAATAACACTGGTAACCAAACTGTTTGATTAATCGTAAGAATTCATTTCCTTGCCATACTGGATGAAAGTAAACTGTGCTTGATTTATTTTAGAGTTTGTATTTTTAATAGTGTATATGATTTGAGGTTAACAATCTCTAACAAATTAAATTGCTAATATATCTAAAGCAAATAGTGGGGTAATGAATAATTTTGCTTTCTCAATCAATTACTAATGACTCCTTCAGATTAAAAAAAACTTTGAAAATCTATTTTCTGTGCTCCATGTTTCTTTTTTTGTTTTTGTTTTTTTGCTTTTTGGTGACGCAGTCGGGGTTAAGTGACTTGCCCAGGATCACACAGCTATTAAGTGTCAAGTGTGTGAGGCCAGATTTGAACTCAGGTCCTCCTGACTCCAAGGCCAGAGCTCTATCCACTACACCACATAGCTGCCCCTTTGCTCCATGTTTCAAGAAAAAAACCTGAGGACAACTCTAATATTTTATTTCAACAAGTGCTAAGTACTTCCAACGTGCCAAGTACTGTGCCTTAGGTACTGGAGATATAAAAGTAGCTAAAATATAGACCTTTGTCTTAAAAGGCTTATAATATAATGAGAGGAATTTTAAAGTGAAATAACTGATATATGAAAAGAGTGAGGAAAATGTGAAGTTTTAACAAAAATGTCATAAATTTGAAAGGGAGAGTTCATATGCAAGTTATGAAGGGATCAGAGAAAGAGATTCAAAAAGGAGGTGTCTTGATTTCATCTTGAAAGGGAATTTCAACAGACAGTGATGGGGAAATCCATTCTCGGCATGGGGAAGCAGCATGAGCAAAGGGAAGGGCAAAAATGGAGAACAGAGATTAGACCATACAATTTGGCTGGAATAAGTCATGACATAAGAATAAACACTTAGGTTGGGGTAAAAATGTAGAGACCAATCTTTTGCCTCTTTTTGTGTCCCCAGTATTTATACAGTGCCTGGCCTATAATAGGTACATAATAAATGTTTATTGACTGACTGACCTTGAAAGTCAGAATCAGGAGTGTTTATATTTTACTGAGAAGGAAATAGAGAGCCAGTGCAGGTTTTTGAATGAAGAGGTGATGTGATCAGAACAAATTACCCTAGTAGAAGTATTAAGTACAGACTAGAGAGAAGTTAGACTGAAGATCCACAGACCAGGTTGGAGGCTATTACAAAGTCTAGGTGAGTAGAAATAGGAATCTAAATTTGAGGCAGCTACAATGTGAGTGGAGAGGTGCAAGGAGAATCACAGGAGAATCCATGGGACCTGGCAGCTGATTGGATTTGAGGGATAAGGAAAAGAAAAGAGCTAAAGAAGAATTCAAGATTATGATGCCCCTGGATAACTGGAAGGATAATAATCCCATCAATAGAATGAGAAAACAGAACCGATTTTAAGGGGATAGTGTGAGTTCTATTTGGTCGTATTTTGAAGTGTTAGGAGTACATCCAATTGTATTCAGCAGAAAGATGTGGAATTGGAGCAACTGAGAATGGGGAAGAACAAATATAAATTTGGAAGTAATCTGCATAAAAGTGTTAAATGAAGACGTAGGAATGGATGAGGTCATAGAGGGTGAGAATGAGGAGAAGGCCAAGGACCCGCAACAGACAGAAGAATGACCGGAAAAGTAAGACAGCCATGAGAGTATAGCATCATGGGAGCTGAGGAAGGAGAACGAGTACCAAGAAAAAAGATGGTCATCCACCAATATCCAGTGCTATCAAATACCAAGGAAGATGAGGGCAATAAAGCAGAGAGGGGGCATTATGTTTAGAATTCATTAATGCCTTGGGAGAAATCCATTTCAATAGAATGTAAGGGTGGAAGCTGGGTTAGAAGGAGCTGAGAAGGAAGCAGAGATAGTAAGCATAGGCTTCTCTTTTTAGAAGTTTGGCAATGAATGAGAAGGGTAAAAGTATGTTAGATTGAGAAGCAGAATCAAGGAAAGGTTTTTTTTTTTTAAATAAAAGAGTACTAGATATGTTTGTTGACAAAAAGGAGTCAGCAGAGAGAGAGAGAGACACTGAAGATTCTCATAATGATGATAATTCACATTTCTAAATATTTTATGGTTCATAAAGCAAAAAGGAGGAAGAGGGCCATCTTTCCTTTTAAGGTGCAGTGGATGGAGGGGACCATGAGTAAGGACACAGATTTAAAAGGAACTTGAGAGACGTTCACTGATGTGATGACTTTAATCTTTTTAAATAAGATAGGGCTAAGTTGAGGTTATTTGCTAGGAGAGCAAGTTGGGGATTTAAGGAGAGAAAGTTGGCTATGCTGTTGTTGGGAATAGTAAATAATTGATGAATAAATGGATTAATGTACAAAGAGGGCCCGGTTGAAATTAAATAGCAGAAATCTGTAGTTAGCCTAGTCAGCATTTCATGATTTCTTCCAAGAGGGATCAGCATCTTGGAAAAGAGCAGATATGAGAGGAGTAAAAGACCAAGAGATTGCAGTCATGGAGGATTTATGAGGTAAAGTAAATTTGAGTGATATTAGGATTTAAGGCATGACTAAGCTTATAAGGAACTTCATAATTAATAATCCACACCCTTTTCTTAATGTATAAAAGTAAATCCTCAGAAATCAACTGCTTTCCCTGCCCTTTCTCATTAGGCTGTGAAGTTGTACCCGATGTAAACGTATCAGGGAGAAAGTTTGGAATCAAGTTGCTAATCCCTGTTGCTGATGGTATGAATGAAGTATATTTGAGGTGTGACAATGTGAGTAAAAAAGGTGAAACTGAATGAACGCTTAGTGTTTTACCATAAAGACCAGTGGTCATAGAAAATAAAGGATTTTCTCACAGAAGTGCTGCTAATATTTTGAGGGATTCTTGGTTTGGTCCCTCTGGCCTTTAACCACCTCTCACTCTTCTCTCCCATCCCTTCAAAGCTTAGATCAGAGAGAAAACAGAGGTGTTTATACAGTGAGCAGTGGTAGAGTCCACCAATGATTTCCCTGTGCCACCGGTTGCCCGCCCCACAATAAGATCCGGGCAAGAGAGTGGTCAGTGGAACTAGAAGGTGGCAAATATCAATCAAATAAGCTAATCAGTTTTATTTATTTCTCCTAAAAGGAGCAGGCAGGATAAGGAAAAGGAAGCAAAGGTGTAGAGTGATACTTTCAAACACCTGTTGTTTTTACTGATCCATACTCAGTCATTGATTTATTTAAGTCCCAGTAGTATCCTAGTATGGTGTTAGACGCTACACAGAACACCATAAAGCTACACGCGCTCTAGCAACTTATCACTTTAAAACTATAAACACTACAGAGTTTTAGCTGGCAGTTTAATGGTTGGTAACTTAAAACAGGAAATTGTAACTCAGCTCTTTGGAGAGGGGGGAGGGAAATCACACCAGTAATTTTATTGGTATAGGGAGATCCTGATGAGGAAACTCCCACTGCCAATACAGGTTGGTGCCTGCTTTACAACTTAGATGCTTACCAAGTTGCCTGCATTATTGAGAAGTTAAGTGACTTCCTCTGTCACATAGCCACTAGGTATCAGAGGCAATACATAAACCCAGGTCTTGCTGACTTGAAGTCTGGCCCTGTAGCAACTCTTATAAAGATCTCTTATAACCTACTTTTTATTTTTATTTTTTGAGACAGTTGGGGTTAAGTGATTTCCCCAGGGTCACACAGCTAGTAAGTGTCTGAGGTCACATTTGAACTCAGATCTTCCTGACTCCAGGGCTGGTGTTCTCTTCATGGTGCCACTTAGCTGACCCTATAACCCCCTTTTAATATCTTTTTATTGTGTCAGAGGCGTTGGTTACTTTATAGTAGGAGCCAGAGTACAAGCAGTACTAGCATATCTTTATGATATATAGCAAATATAGTCACTGATGAAGACATACCCTTTGGGAGGGAGAAAAACAACTGCTACTAAAGTACATTTTATATGATGGTATTTTAAAGTCCTGTCATGTTTGTGTTACAGGAGAATCAGTATGCCAGATGGATGGCTGCCTGCGTCTTAGCTTCAAAAGGCAAAACTATGGCAGATAGCTCCTACTGGCCTGAAGTAAACAACATTCTTTCATTTCTGAAGATGAAAAACAGAAATACATCTTCACAGGCACCTTCTGATCCTGAATGCATGGATATGAAACCAGAATGTTTTGTGTCACCTAGATGTGCAAAGAAATATAAGTCTAAACAGGTAATTCTAACAGTGGCAGAGGTAGATCATTGTTGGCAGAGCCTAGGGCCCCTGGGTCTTCACCTCAGAAAACTTAGAAGATTCAAAAATTTAACGTATGCTGTCCGTAAGTAAAATAGAAGGAAGTGAGGGGAACGCAAACTCAGACATTAGCCAAGGAGAGGAGAAAGGAGTTTGGGGTGGAATGAAGGCCGTTGACTTTTATCATTTTCTCCTGATATCCTCTAAGGAATTCCCCCCTCTGACACGCCCCTCCTTGGGACTTTCCTTTCCCTTTCCATTCCAAGAAGACTAGCTTCTCTCCTGAGCTGTTTCCATAAGCAGTGACATTTTCCTGCAGGAAAGGGTGACTACTTTGCTGCTCTGGTGTAGTAGAAGGGCAAGGGACCTCAAACCCTGTAGAATGGATTAAATGACCTCTAAGGTACCTTTCAGCTCTTGGATTCTATCCCCTAAGCCACCAGAGTAACTAACTCTATCTTCCACTAAACTGAATCTATCTTAATTACTTATTGTATTATTTATGCATTTTGAATTATAGTTTGTTTGAAGGCTCCCTTTATACTTTTTATCCAGTTACTTGCTCTAGACAGTAGATAGTGGCACCGAAGTGACTAGTTATGGCTCTAATTATTAGCATGATTTATACTAATTCCAAATCAAGTCATGAATCAAAAAAGAAAAGAGGGAAAGTAATTTGTAATAACAAATTAAGATGATTAATAATGAATATTTATTGAGCAACTGCTACTATAGGCACTGTTCTAAACCATGGAGATAAAAAGGATGTATACTGATGATAATAACTAAAAACAACAGCAACAACAATAATAATAACTGGGATCTGTGTAAAGCTTTAAGATTTGTAAAGCACTTTATAAATATTATCTCATTTTATCTTCATAACACCCATGAGAGGTAATTGCTGTTATTAATCCCCATTTTATAGCTGAGGAAACTGAGGCAAAGAGAGGTTAAGTGATTTGCCCAGAGTCACACAACTAGTAAGTGTCCCAGGGAGAATTTGAACTCAGGTTTCCCTGCCTCCAGATCCAGTTCTGTATCCACTGTGCCACCCACCTACCTTGATGACATAGACTTAAAATGCACAATTTAAGTATTTTAAGTCTCACTTAATAAGACATCCTAAACAAGTGCCAAATAAAATATGATGTACATGGAACAGGAATAGCAAATTGACAGTGACTAGGAAAAGAATTAGAGCAAATATTCAAAGCAGAGCTCTGATTTTTATATGATCATCCTTGATTTCATAAGATGTTAATTCTCTCCTCCTTCTTTTGAAATTACATTTTATCACTTTGTATTTACTTATCTGAGTACATGTCAGATCCTCTCCCTTTCCCCCCAACTCCTGTAGAATGTAAGCTTCTTGAGGACAGAGTTCATTTCATTTTTGGCAGTATGTAGTATCTTTTTTGCCTGGACCTGCAGAGTCTAGGGAACTAGTATCACGAAACACGTTCTGGTGCCTTCTGAAAAACAGTCCAAGCAAATTCTATGACTCTGGAACACTGCTGTTTTCAGATTCAATTAAAAAAAATCCAACATATTTGTTAAGTGCCTGCTATATAAAAGGTACTATGCTAGGTATTCTCAGTAGAAAGATAAGACATAGATCCTACTTTCAAGGATCTTACAATCCAAAATGGAAAAAAAAAAACAAAAACACAATTGACTGTGACTCAGGAGTTAATGTGATAGATACAAGGGAGAGGCCCAGACAAAGTGCCATGACATATTTAAGGAAAGAGAAATCACTTTAAGCTTGTAAGTCTGGAATTCTTAACCTGGATCCATGAACTGATTTCTTTTAAAAGTATTTTGATAACTTTATTTCAATGTAATTGATTTTCTTTGCAGTCCTATGTATTTTATTTTATGTACTTAAAAACATTATTCTGAGAAGAAATAGACAGGCTGCCAAGGGGGAGTCCATGATCCAAAAAAGGTTATGAACCTCTGGAAGAAGAGGATGGAAAGAGAAAGGAGAGGAATGAGATCAGTGAAGGCCTCATGGAAAACTGGTGCCTGAGTTAGACCTTGAATGAAGGGAGAGACTTCAGTCAAAGAAGGTCAGAGGAGAGTTCTTTACAGGTGGTGTAGATAGAATGAGTAAAGGCCCCTAAATGGGAACAAAAGATTCGGGCTACTCCACCAACTAATAGACAAGCCCTTAATTATCTTCTGGGGAATAATCCTATTTTATTTCTGCCCTTGCCTCCATTTGACTTGAAATCCACCCATTCATACTGTCTATTAACTGCTGAATAAAGTCCAAACTCATCAGCCTAGTATTCCAAAGCTTGACCCCAGTAGATGTTTATCCGACTTTACAACACTCCCTGTCACATTATGTGTCTGCCAATAAGAGTACTCCCTATTCTCCAAATTTATCCTCCCCTTTTCCATCTTCTTGCTTGTGCATGCATGTCTGGAATGCTTTTCCTCAACTTCTCCAGCCCATCCCACAGTCTTGTCCCATTGACGTCTTATTGTTCCTTCAAGGTGATACGTCCTATGCTAGTCATCTATCGCATTGTGCATTATTGTTTAGACCTCTCAACAAAACTCTCAACATATCAGTGAAAATTGTTTTATATCATTAGTCTTTCCAGAGCAATCCTTATATTCTTAACATGAGGAAATAAGTGATATTTGTATAGGAATTTACAGTTTGCAAAACAATTTCACATACATGTGGTCCTCAAATCAACCTTCTTGTAAGGTCAGATGGACAGGTATTGTTATCCTTGTATTACAGAGAAGAAACTCTGGTGCAGGTGGCTTATTTGGCAAAGGTGACATAATTAGTAACTCAATCCTGCAAAAATTTATTGAATTACCTGCTATGTTCAAGATGTTGGTGATACAAAGACAAAAATGAAACAGTCTCTCAAAAAATGAAAGGGCCTTCTCTTCTAACCTGCATACTATGAGTAATATTTTCAAGACCAAAAAAAGAAGGCAATTTCCAAAAACCTTTCTATACTTTCAATATTTCAAAATTCTTTCAAATATGGTTCCAATTCCAAAACATGAATGGCTGCTTCATAGGATTTCTCTGGCATCCAAGGAATATTCCCTTGCTCCAACTGGTAGATCACATCTGGTCTGGAAACTCCAAATCCCAGAATGCAACTAGTATGCAACTACCAAACTACATACTTGGGACTAGAACCCAAGGATTCTAACTCCTAAGTCCAAAGCTTTTTCTAGTATGCCACACTAACACCTGGTACTTCAGCCAAGAACTCTTCCAGGATGCAGAAGAGTGTGTGGCTAAATAAATGACTTAACAAATGGCAATTTCATCTGAGCAGGTCAGTAGCTATGTAAAAGAAAGAGCAGTCGACCATGAAAACCTATAGTGAGACATCATCAGGACCTAGCTATATGATCAATAGATAATATCTGATAATACTTGTGTTAGCTGATAACTTCCAATTTGAACTCTGATTTCAATGTCTTAAAACAATAAAGGATGAGCAAGTTGTTTTAGGGTCATTCCTGGGATTCTTGTGATCTTCTTTGAAGAGTATCCTAGAACTAAGGATGACAATGACAGCTGTTAACTGGTCTTCAAGAGTTGTCAGACCATTCTTATTGTTCCTAGTTGGCAGCTCGAATTCTGGAAGCCCACCAGAACGTGGCACAAATGTCTCTAGTTGAAGCTAAGCTCCGTTTTATACAAGCATGGCAGTCCTTACCGGAATTTGGACTCACGTACTACATTGTGAGGTAATAACATTGTTTATTTTCTTTCTTCCTTATATACTTTGATTTTAAATGACTTATTGGGAATTTGGTTCATTTTCCATTGGGATAAATTTCTATTCTACCGTTTCCCTAAGAGTCAAAACTTTTTGGGCAGTAGACAGAACTCTTCTGTGTGATAAAATAATGCACCCAAAGTATCAGAACCCTGAAATGCAGTTAAAAGTTAGAAATCGTCTAATTTTTTTTTCAAGAAGCCTGATACCTAAAAGGTAACCTTTGCTGCAAGAAGGAGAGTCCAGTCCCTTAGTTTCCTAAAAGCAAATAGTAGCTCCTCACTGTCTTGTTGAATCAGTACTTATGGAATTGCATTTGATCTTCACAACATGGCAGAGAAGACACTGTTTAACAGGCAGGGCATCCTTATTTCATGGTATGACTTTACACAGTATTCTAGGTACTTTATTTCCATTGTAGCCATGTGAAGTATCAGTAAAAAATAAATATATATAAAATATATAATTATATGTATATAATTTATATAAAATATATAAAATAAAATATACTTTTTACTATAAACTTATCAGTCACTGACAAAAATTTCAGTGTACAAGGAGCAACAAATGAGAATTGAGACTTTGAATGCTATTGTATGTAATTTGCTTTGTGAGAAATATTGTTCAGTTGTTTCAGTAGTGTTACACTCTTCATGACCCCATTTGAGGTTTTCTTGGCAAAGATACTGGAGTGGTTTGCCATTTCCTTCTCCAGCTCATTTTTATAGATGAGGAACTGAGGCAAATAGGGTTAAGTGACTTGCCCAGGGTCACACAGCTAGTAAGTGTCTGAAACCAGATTTGAAGATGAGTCTTCCTGACTTTAGGGCCTGCACTCTTATCAACTGTACCATCTAGCTGCCCTAAGAAATATACATGTGTATTACTTAACAAGATAGTAACAAAATCACTCTACTTGTGTTTCCTTGTGTACTACTTTTCTCTGCCTTTAAAAATGTTTTATCGATGCCTTTTTGGCATACTCATTATTATCAATGAACCCACCATCTCTTTCCAAAAAAAAAAAGTCCTCCCTTTTAACAAATGTATATATAGTCAAGTGGTCACAAAATGACTTTTTTTCAACCAGGCAGAGCAGTAAAATGCTTGTTGCCCGTGGTCACAGAAGTAAGCTTTGGAGCCAAAAGGGATTGTGTAACTATAGAATAACAGAATTGGAGAATTGGAAAGGGCCCCAGGAAACAAGTAGACCAGAGTTTCTTAACCTAGAGTCTGTGAAATTGTGTTTTTTTAGAAAATATTTTGATAATTATATTTCAGTATAATTGGTTTCCTTTGTAATCCTATTATTTTATTTTATGCATTTAAAAGCATTATTCTGAAAAGGGTTCCACAGGCTTCACCAGACTGCCAAAGGGGTCTATGACACAAAAAAACTAAAGAACATCTAATCTAGTCCAACCCATCCCATAAGGAACTCCCATAGTTATAGTTATATAGTTTCTAATATATAATATAAGTTATATGAAGTTTATAGAGTTATGTAAACTTTAAGTTATATAAAGCAAAAATTCTTTCCAGCCTCTGCCTCCAAGGAGGAAGAAACCACAGGCTTCCAAGGAAGCACATTCCGATTCTGGACAGTTTTAATTGTTAGGAAGCTTTTCCTGACATTGTCTAGATTTGCGTCTTTGCACTTTCTACCTTTTGTTCTTGGTTCTGGTCTTTGGGGCCAAAGAGCGCAAGCACAATCCGCCTTCCACATGACAGCACTTCGAATATTTTGGAAATAAGTTATAATCTGCTCTTCCCCAGTCTTCTCTTTTAAAAACTAAATGGTCCCGGTTCCTTTCATTGAGCCTCATATGGACTCAACTCTTCACCACTCAGGTTGGTTCCTATGTACACTCTCTACCTTATTTTTATCTTTCTTAAACTGACACCTTGAATTGAGCAGAATACTCTAGATGAGGTCTGATGAGGGCACAGAACAGTGGGATGATCACCTCTTTATTTCATGAAGTAAAGTGTCTCTTCATAACTCAGGGTTTTATTAGGTTCTTGTTTGTTTGTTTGCCACATCACACTGCCAAGTCACATTGAGCTAGCAGTCCACTGAAACACCTAGTTATTGTTATTTTAAGATAAACTGCTGTCTAACGATACGTTCCATCCTATACTTGAATCCAAATGTAAAAACATTATAACTATTTAATTTCATTTCATTGGATTCAATCCAGTCTGTCAAAATTTTTTAGGATTCTGACCTTGTCATCCCATATGTTAGCTATCCAAATTTTGTCATCTACAAGTTATTCATGCCATTATTCAACTAATCAATAAAAATCTTAAATAGCACAGAATAAGCACAGGTTCCTGGGATACTACTGGTAACCTGCTTTGTTGACATTCCACCATTAACATCTCCTCTTTGAGTCTGGTTGTCCATCCAGTTCTGAATCTTATCAAATTACACTCATCTATTCCATATTTTTTTTATCTCCACAAGAATGGTATATAGTACTTTATGAAATGTTTTCTAAAATCTAGATAAATTGTGTCTGTTGTATTCCCCTCATCTACCACTTTAATAACCCTGTCAAAAAAGGAAATGAGGCTAATCTGGCATGAACTGTTCTGATGAAGTCACTGTAGCTCCTTGTAATCACAACTTCCCCTTCTAGCTGTTCACAAACCATCTCTTTAATGATCTAGTCTCAGATTTTGCAAGGAATTGAATTTAAGTTTACTGTGCTGTATTTGGCAGATTTTGTTCTCTTCCCTGTTTGGAAAATAGGGACAACACTTGTTTTTCTCAAATCTAGTGACACCTCTCCCATCTTCTACCATCTTTCAATGCTTCCCAACAGTGGTTCAACAGTCATATCTGCTAGCTCCTTCAGAAACGAAGGGCGTAGTTCATTTGGGTCAAGGGACTTGAGTTCATTAAGAGTTCTCTAACTAACTCATTACTAATCTTGATTATCAACTTTCTGTTAACCATTGTTGTTCTTTTGAATGCAAAAGTCATTCTCCTTGGCAAAGATAAGAAAAGCCAAATGAAAGTTGAGCAGCTCTGCCTTTTCTCTGCTGCCAGTTATTATTTTCTGATCCACCCCCAGCAGAAGTATTTTCCTATCTTTGATCCACCCTTTTCTCCAAAAAAAAAAATTGTTTTCTGCTTCTCACAACTTCAACACACTCTGAGTTTCTTATATTCACCCTCTGTTAACTGAACTTGCTTCTGTCTTCTGTACTTTTCTTTATTTTAAAACTAAGTTGTTTGGTGAGGTCACTCCAGATCTACATTGATCTTTTGGGCCAAATCCTATTTTTTCTCCTCATTGGAACTGTTTGTTTTTATGACTCCAGAATTTCATTTTTGAACAGCCCATCTATCTTGGGCTGACTTCCTCTGTATAATTTTGTCAATTTGAAACTATTCTTCCTCTGAGCCCTTTGAGATTTGCTTTCCCAAAATCTAAGTCAAATGTCAGATCATACCCTAGATGTCCTCTCCTCCTAAGCACAGATTCTTAACTCTAGGAGGTAATCTTAGCTTTCCCCATTCCCAATCTCCTCTTACATCATTTTCACCCTGACTCCAACTGTGTCCAATAACCTTAGCTAAGAGATGGGAAAATTGCAGCACAGAGTTATTAAATTACTTGACCAAGGTCAGGGCTTCTTAAATTTTTTCTACTGCCCACAGCTTTTCCCCTGTAGGCTGCATTTGTTGGTGCTGTGTGGCCTGAGGGCATGCACAGTGCAAGTGTGGATGCTTTGTGTTCAAAACCAAGGCTGCAATGAAGTTGCTTGATGCAACAAGGGAAAGCAAGCACTGCCAGAAACACCTCAGATTTATTACGTTTGATTTTTAATTAATTTTTGTTCATTGGGCGTTCAGAAATCTTTTACTGTTGTCAAATTTCTCATGACCCCATATGGAATCACAACCTACAATTTAAGAAGCACTGATAGATAATAGCATAAATGAGATTTAAAAAGAACCTAAATTTCAACTCTCAGTTTACTGTTCTTTACATTTCACTAATATCACCTCCCTAAGTTTAAAAAAAAAGAAAGGCAGCTAGATCCTATAAGAATGCCTAACTTTATGAAATAGGTTATGTTGCTGAAAAGGTATGTGCTAATAAAACCTTTTGAAAGTTGAATCATATATTTAAAGAAATCCTATGATTACTACTGTAAACAAGTAGTTGCCCTATCATTTATCTTCTTTGTCATATAGTGGAAAAAGCACTAGATTGGAATTTAGGAGAACCAGATTCTAGCACTGGCCAATCTACCTCTTTAGCACTGAGTTTTCTCTCGTGTAAAATGATACGGTTTGGCTAGATTATCATTAATGTTCATTTTGGGTCCAAAAGTATATTATTCAGTGATAAATATGGCTGTTCAGGTCCTGGCTTTACATAAAGCATAGTCTACAGATGTTTATGGCTCTTCTCAAAAACTTGATTTCATCCCTTGCTTTATCTATAACAACTCTTCCCTAGCAGGGATAGCTGAAGGGGATCTATGCCAGTCCTGTTTCCTGAAAAGACCTATCTAAAGTTTATTTCTTATCTTCTTTTCCCTTGTTTCCAAGAAATAACTAACTCATTCTTAACTCATCCCAGCAATGTAAAAGTGAGCCTGCAGCTGTTCTGTTATTCTGCTATGTTCCTTTGGAGTTAATCTCCCTGAGGCAGAGTTATCCTACTAGCCCAAGGAAGGTATCCCATTGTTGAGGTTCAGGGGTGCTGGGACGCCAAAATATTGAGAACAAGAGATGCAGGTCCTGCCCAAATGAATTCAACCCAAGCCTTCTTTCAGCCAAAGACAAGGTTTATTAAAGATCCTCCCTCTTGGCCAGACTCTTAAGGAATCTAAGCATTTGTATCAAAAAAGAATCTGAGCACCCTAACGGAGGCCAGATGGACCTTATATACAGAAAGACTGTGGGCAGGATCTAGGAGTGGCCAGTAGGCTGGTGTGACTGGAGGAAGGGTCTAAGGAGGATCTATATGGGAGTGGCCAAGTAGTTTGGGGTGACTGGAGGAGAGGTATGGGAGAAGGGGTATCTTGATGGGAGGGGCCTATAGGCTGGGGAGACGGGAGGAGGGGTCTAGGGAGGATCTAGGGTGGGAAGTAGCTGGGGGCCACTGAGAGGTAATAGACAGTGGAGGGCTGGGCTGGGTTAAGGGTAAATAGTATTGGGAGATTGGGCATAGGTGATAAGAAAAGGCTAGTTGATAGGATTATAGCCTCAGGTGAACACTAGAGACTTCCATGACCAAGTGGGAGTTCAAGGAGAGTCCAAGGTGGGGTTTTCTCTAGGACTTGTAGACAAATAGGACCCAAATTCTTTTTGGGGTAAGGGGCAAAGGTGTTGGCTTGGGCTTGTACCCCATTTTTCCCCCCTCAAACAAATGGGACCCAAATTATTTTGGGGTGAGGGGCTGTTCTCTCAGCTAGTCCCTCCCTCATTCTTTCTTTTGCATCCCCTACCTATTCACTACCTTTCTCCCACCACACATAATCTGCTACTGTTTTGGTGATTAATGTACCCTGATTTGGTGATTAATGTAATAGTATACCCTGACAGACTCTAAGTGCAGTGATTTTATGATTATCAAACTCTCCAAAATATGTGAACCAGGAGCATTCACCATGTTTGCACACAATAATAGTATTCAGACACAAGAAGGCCCTGCAGCCACTGAGCTAAAGATTCTGTACTCCACCTTCTATAGTTTTCCATTTTGCCAACCAAAGGTAAGTGGAAGCATAGGAAAGTGAGACAGTACATGTCCTGGAAATGTAGACATACAAAAGGGTGAGATTAAAGGAATATTATGGCATATAGCAAAGGAAAAAGAGTTTAGTTACACTTCATTTAATACTACATTTTCTTATATGTACTTGAATTTCCACTGCCCTTCTTTCCTCTGATAGGAATTTTTGGGGGGGTAATGGTGCTTGACATCTGTTCTTGTGTGCCATAAAGGAATGAATTTGTAATTATATTCTTTCTCATATAATTTATACAACAATAAAAAGGTATACTTCACTAGGACTTGTTGATGAACTGTCTCAGCCTTTTATAATCCCAATGGAATAACTTAGAAATGTATGTATCTCATTTGTCTTTTCCAAAGAAGAGAGACTTGAGTAGGAATCATTTATATAACATTCCCTGTTATGAAATGGTTTGCAATTGGATCTTGCTCTCTTAATGAATACGATCATTATTTTTCCAGGTTTAAAGGAAGCAAGAAAGATGATCTTCTTGGAGTCTCATATAATAGGTTAATTAGGATAGATATGGCCACAGGGGATCCAATTACAACATGGAGATTTGCAAATATGAAACAGTGGAATGTAAACTGGGAAATCCGTCAGGTAAAAATAATTTCTTTTTTTTTCTCTCCTAAACAGATGTAGGGTCTGTGACTATGTATTATTCCAGAGAACCGTAGATGGTTTTAAAAGGAGGAACTTTTGTTTCAAAAGCTAAAAAACCACAAAGGTTTTGTAATTGTATATAAAATAATCACATTTAATTCTGGGCAATTTTTTAAACATGTAAAGACCAAAAAATAACTGAACTGACATGGCCAAATTGTTTAATTCATATTTTGAACATATAGAATCTCCAGCTCCCTAAAACTGCTGAGCTGTACATGATATTTAATTTTAATTCATTCAGTATAAGCTTATGAGAAAGCTTAGATTCATCACTTCACAAAGATGAATATAACATGTATAACTGACATAAAACTAATCTTAGAACACACGTTCTTGAGTAGCCGCCAACAGATTCTTTTGTCTTGAGCCTTAAGCCCTATTTGTCTACCTAAAAATAACTTTACTTATGAAAGAAAAAATTGGTTAAAAGACTTACTTGCACAGATTGGAAAAGATAGCCTGTTAACACTAAGAGCCCATAATCATTAGGCCTTAATACAGAATCAGTGCATTTCAAAAAGAATCACAAAATCTCACAGTTGGAAGGGAAGCTGTATCTGATCATGAATCTAATCTACAACACATTCAAGTGGTCATCCATCCATCCATCATATGAAGACCTCCAGTCCAGGGGAAGGCCCTGTACTTCCGGAATCCCACTACTTTGAAACAACTCTAAATGTTAGAAAAAGCTTTGTTTCTATTCCTCAAACCTAAAGTTGTATCTTTCCAGCTTCTACCTACTGCTTCTCGTTCTCCTATCAGAGCCAAGCAGAACAAACCTAATTGTGCCCATATGATAGCTCTTAGATACCTGTTTGCGGCTATCATGTCCCCCGAGTCTTCTCTTCTCTAGACTACACATCCCCAATTCCATCGACTGATCCCAACATAGCATAATCTTAAAGCCCTCCATCATCTTGGTTGCCTTCCTCTAGAGACTTTCTGGTTTATCAATATCCTTAATAAAACATGGAGCCCAGAATTAAACAGAATACATCACATGTGGTCTGATCAGGGCAGAAGGCAATGGGACTATCACCTGTGTGTTCCGGACACCTTGCCTTTCTTAATGTATTTTCAGTTCACATTAGCTTTCTTGGATGCCAAGTCACATTGTTGACTCATATTGAGCTTGCAGTCCTCTAAAATCCCCAGATCTTTTTTGGGTAAATTTCTCTCTAGATATAATTCCCCCATCTTATATATCAAATATCTTACATACTTGATATTTTTTTGAAACCAAGAATAATTCTTTATGTATTTTTCAGTTGTTGTTCAGTCATGGTCAACTCTTCATGACCCTGTTTGGGATTTCCTTGGCAAAGATAACTGGAATGGTTTGCCCTTTCCTTCTCCAGCTCATTTTACAGATGAGGAAACTGAGGCAAACAGAGTTAAGTGACTTGCCTAGGGTCACACAGCTAGTAAGTGTCTGAAGCCAAATTTGAACTCAGGAAGATGAGTATTCCGGCCTCCAGGCCGGGCACTCTATCCTAGCTTATATGTATATACGTATTTATCCAATTTAAATTTACCTCAGATTTAGCTAACCTTTCTAGCCTGTCAAGATCATTCTGAATCCTGACTCTGTCATACAGCATGTTAGCTCTCCTTCCCAGCTTTGTGTCATCTGCAAACTTATTTTTTTAAGCATGCTATCTGTTCCTCTATCCAAGTCAGTGCTAAAATATTAAATAGCACAGGACCAATTACAGATCACTGGAGCACTCCATTGTCTACCTCTTTCCACTAAATCACTACTCTTTGGATCTAGCCACTCAACCAGTTGTAAATGCTCCTAAACATACCGTCATGTATCCTAGTTTTCTCCTTTTCCATGAGAATAGTGTAAGAGACTTTGTCAAAAGCTTTGCTAGAGTCTAGGTAAATTATATCTACAACACTCCCTTGACCTTCCAATATATTAACCTGTTTTTAAAAAAGAAATTAATTTAGTCTAGAATGATATCTCTGATGCTTTTCTTCCTCTCTGGAATCATTGCTTCCTTTTCTTTTTTCATTAACACTCCTTTAATAATGCATGACAAAATTTTTCCAGAAATTGGAATCAAGCTCATTGACTTACACTTTGTAGACTCTTGTCTCTCCTCTTTCTTTGAAAATTGGAATACTAGTTTTTCTGTTACTCCTGATTGTATGCTCTAGGGACATTTTTGTTGAGTACTTTTCAGTTCAAGGATTATTCTCCTTGTCAGTGAAAACATATCACTGTGGTACTACGCCATTACCCATGGTCTTTCAAAGATCAGTGACAGTTGCTTAGAATGACATCCTGCAGTTCATTCAGTAGCCTATTTTATTTGGGACTGGTGACTTGAATCCCTAGCACTTAGCACAGTGCTTGGCACATGGTAAGTGCTTAACAAATTCTTTTTCATTCATTCATTGAATTCATTAAGGATAGCTCCCTAAATATGTTGGGTTTCAATTCACAGAATCAAAGAATTTGCATTAGAAGGGACCTTAGTCGTCATCTAATCCAACCCATACCCTGAGGAAACCGCACTATAACTTGCTAGATAAGTGGCTTTCCAACCTCTACTTAAAGATGTACAAGGAATAAAACTCCACCTGCTCTTGAGGCTACCTAATAGAGCTTGGGATAGCTCTGTTTGTCAGGACTTATCTTTGCCATCAAGCCTTAAATCTTCCTTGCATTTTCCACCCATTACTCTTAGTTCCACCCTCTAGATCCATTTTTGTTCAGTACTTTTCAAATATCATCCTCCTTGGCAGAGAAAACAGACAAGAGATAAATAGCTCTGGCTTCTCTTTTTCTTGAATTGCCACCATCTTATCTACCCTGAACAGTCTTACTTATTCCTTTTCTTGATTTTCGTCTTTTCACCAATTAGCTTAGAAACAAAAAACAAAAACCTTTATTGTCCTTAATTTTCCTTGCTAATTTCAGCTCTTCTGGCATTATTTTTATAGCACTATAGGCATTATTTTTATAGCACTATACAACATTTCTGTATTCCTCCAGGTGACACAGTATAGGTCCTAAAAATGTTGGTTTACAGAAGGGTAAGGTTATTTCAAAAAACTATTGTGGCATATAATATAGGAAGAAGGTTAGGCTCCAGTTTCACTTGATATGACTTTTTTTTTTGCTATGAACTTGAATTTCCACTGCCCATGTTTCCTTTAGTATTTATGTAGCTCTTTCAGATTTGCAAAGTGCTTTTACATATATTATCTCATTTGATCCACACAAGCATCTGTGAGGCAGGTGCTATTACTATCCCCATTTTACATATGAGGAAAGTAAGACTGAGAGATGTTAAGTGACTTCCCCAGAGTCACACAGCTAGTATGTGTATGAAGCAAAATTCATACTTATGTCATCCAGACGCCAAGTCAGGCACTCTATCCATTATAGCATATATCTGCCCTTGATATGACTTTTTATTTAGAGATTTGAGGATAATTGTATTTCACATTATATGCTCATATGTACCAGCATGAAGTCTGCAATTTAAAGGAATGAATTTTTAGCTTAACCTTTCTCACAAAGTTTAAATAACATAAAAAAGGTGAACCTCATATCTCTCCTTGTTTCCATTTTCTGTACATGTCTTTTTAAAATCTAAGTCAATTAAAGGAGTTCCCTTGGACTTTCACATTCCACTTCCTCTTCGTAACTCTGCCCACTTTTTTTCCCTTTCTTTTCAGAATCATTTTTCCTGGTGTATTCTTGAGAACTTCTTATGCCTCCCAGACTGACTGCCCCCTATAGAATTCTAAGCACTAGGATCCCTACCTATTATTAGCTTCTCCTGATTTTGACAGAGCTTGAGCAAATGTCCAAATACTTGAAGTTCCCTATCATTACCATTGTATCATGGCGGCTGAGCTGGACTTGTGTCCCATTTCCCAAACACTCTTCTGTTATTTGCCTTTTCTTTTTAGACAGTCTGTGGCATACGTCAGTGACACAACGTTAGTTCTACTTTTGCCTCAGTGGCTTCCTCCAACTCTTTTTCTCCAGGTTTTGACCCTCTGGTTCCTTGATTTTCCTCTTATTAGTACATATCCTTAATATAGTGCTACCTATCCTGTTCCTTCCATTTAAAATATACCTCTTCAGAGTCTTACTCAGTCAAGGATCTCATCCCTCCTACTTAGGAGTTTAGATATGTCTCTTTGTATTAGGCACTATAACTTGATACTCACTTTGTGAATTTGAGTATACACATTGACATCTGAGGCCATGGGCTTTATTACTTTTTTTTTTTTTCATGTTCTTGCTTATAAGTTTCTGGGCATTTCAACTACTATGACATCACAGCAACTTTCTATGATATCCAGGTCATTAGACAAACATAAGTCAATTTTCTGCTACCCCCTTCCTTCTTAAAGTCCTTTTGATTATGTAATCAAGATTTGAAAACTGGCATCCTGTGATTTGTTATTCAGAGGGACAAGCATTACAATTAGATTTGTGAGACTATATGTACAGCTGACTTTCAGAATTTATTTTTCTACCACAAGAGGGCACCAAATGAGCAGTAATTCCGTGGTCTTTTTTTTTTTAAAGCTAACTAAGTCAGTTCTAAATTGTTTGTAGCCTACTTCACAAGAAACCAGAGTCTAAATAATCATTAACAGGAGGTTGAAGTATAATATATGGTTGCCCATCTGTGTGTGTAGATTTTTTCTTACTTGTGCTCTACATTTTTTTTTCCAGGTTGCCATAGATTTTGACCAAAATTTATCTTTTGCTTTCACTTGCCGAAGTGCAGATTGCAAGATAGTACATGAATATATTGGTGGCTATATCTTCTTATCCACCCGCTCAAAAGACCAAAATGAAACACTTGATGAAGAGCTCTTCCACAAATTAACAGGAGGTCAGGAGTAAAACAGCTGACTTGGATGACCTTTGCAAACAGTACAACCATATCATGGTTTTTGGTTTTTTGTGGGTTTTTTTTTTTATCCTTTGACTCTTCCTGACAGATAGAATAATATAACAAATACGGTATAAATCCTGGAATACTTCCCATGTTAAATCTCTCACACCCTCTTTTGTTACTAGTCACTTGATTCCACATCTTTGATGCATAAACCCAAGCACACACCCTTCCTCCCTGAAGCATTTTCTATGGTGAAATTACTTGAACCTGAACATTAGGACCTAAAGTTTTATTTCAGCCATAAGGTGGCAGCAGAGTAATGAAGAAAGAAGATGCAGATAAAGTAAAGCAGTTCTTACACAGACTGAGAAGCAAATGCTTTGGTGTCATTCCCGTGAGGTATCCTGAGATGATTCCACCCAGGATTCTGTCAGATTTCTAGAGGAGCTAGAACTTACCAACAAATTTTGAGTGATGTATTTTCATTTTCTGAAGCTCAAAAATGAGAAGAAAACTTAGAATTCACGAGTAATACATAGAGAATCAGATTCTCTCATGCCTATCTCCCTGACTCCACACCCAGATGAGGCAAATAAACATCTTTCAGCCTCAAGGTACAAGCCTCAAGACTGAAGGCCTAACTTGACACTTGGGCCCTAGGACCATATGGTTCATGTAGTAACAAACATATTTGAAACGTTTTCTTCTGACACAAACTGACAATTTGACCATAACCCTGTCAAACTTCAATAAGTATCATTTACGTATCAGGTCTCCTAATATTTCAGTTTGTGGATTAGAATTATAATATTTAAAGTATATATAACTAGCCTATTTGTCACAAAGGACAAAGTTGTGCATAATTTGAGGCCTTGGTTTCAACTGAACTGTTTGGGATTCCCCATTTGTCTGTCATTTCCATAATAATTTTCATAGATGTCGGCTGATTTTGACCAAATTTTGTCTGCAACAAAGAGTGTCAGGATAAATTTCAAATTCCATTTATGGGTACTTGGCTATCACGAAGGCGACAATGGCAGTCAAATGAAATCTTCCAAATGAGTGATTTGTACTCAGTAGAGATGCACTTTACAAAAGCATTAGTCTAAGTTTAGATTAGCTCATTATCCTCTTAGACTGGGGTAGAGAACCTTCAACCTCAAGGCCACACTTGGTTCTGTGAAGTTTGGATTCAGGTAGAGGGCTGCACTTCCTTGAGGCCCAAGGTTCCCGCCCCGGTTAGAGTATTAGATTTCTAAATAGCCACATCAAGTCAACAGGTCAACTAGCATTTATTAATCATTTACTGTATGCCAAGCACTGTACTAAATGCTGTACACCACTCATTTGTCCTGTGTAAAGCTATTTGAGTCCATATTCTCCACCAGCCATCACTGTAAAATTTTACACTAGCATATGCAATTTAAAACTACTCGCTTTTCTGTCTACATTAGATGGGGAAGTATACATTTAACTTCTTATGTATGGATGGGTACAGAAGTAGACACAGGGACTGTGACTTGCTTGATAGAGAGAACTCCTCATGAGGAAATTCTGCCAATGTAGGCTGACCTTGTACCTCCTCTGCAGCTAAGTCTTTGTTTAATTCTAAATTTAACAAATGCAAAATAAAATTAGCATTTCCTTATACATAGTAGATCAGAGAAATGATTTTACATGTAATTGCAAATCTGTTATATACAATATGCTTTTATTTTAAAATATCTAATAACAATTCTTCACTTATAGACTTAGAGTTGACTGGAACAGTGAAAGGTTAAGTGTTAGAGTCACATAGGCAGTTAAGTCACATAGTCAGAGGCAGGTCTTGAACCCAGGTCAAACTGGCATCAGGGTTGGCTCTCTAATGCTGCCTCTGTACTTTTTAACTACAGTAATAAAATACACAAAGTTTGTATGGTATTTTTTTTTTTTGGTCAGTATTGTTATAGCCTATTTGGCCCTTTCCCATGTAGCTGTCTGTATGCTAAGGTAAGTTATACCCTTGCTTTCTCTGTTACAAAGAGAACAAACACAGCTTTCTGATTCTCATCCTTTCCTACAATTCCAGAATGACAGCCAGTTTTCATCTATCAGTGAAAAGAAAAGTTATACTGGTAATCTGGAAAGTTAGGGATACCTGAAAACATTAGTTTAGCCATAAATTTCAACTTATTTATGATGTCAGAAATTCCAATAAAATATGAAATAGCATTCCAATTCTTAATGACCAGCGTAGACACTGAAAGCCTGGAAATAGCAATTCCGTAGTGAACAACAGGCTGAATATGAGTCAGCAATTTGATTATAAACTATAGGCTTTCATGAATAAAGTGATCATTCTTACAAACTTTTCCCTAGTCAGACCAATCTAGGAGGTGGAGATGAGGGTGAGCATTCCAGACTTGGGAGACAGCCGGTGAAAATGCCAAGAGTCAAGAAATGGGGTGTCTTGTGCAAGGAACAGCAAGGAGGCCTATGATAATAGGTTTTGGAGTACATGGAGAGGAATAAATTGTTGAAAGACTGGAAAGGCAGGTTATGAAGGACTTTAAAAGCTAAACAGAGGACTTTATATTTGTTCCTTAGGTAGAAGGAAGGAATTAAGCATTAATTGAGTGTCTACTATGTCCCAGGCAATGTGCTAAGTAGTTTAGGAATGTTGGTTCTTACAACAACCCTGTGAGGTAGGTACTATTATTATCCTCATTTTACAGAGGAGGAATCTGGGGCAGAAAGAGGTTGTGATTTGTCCAGAGTCACACGTAAACTAGAAAGTGCCTGAGACTGGATTTGAACTTGGTCTTCCTAACTACAGACTCGGAGCTTGAATTACTACCACCTAACTGCCTGTAATAAGGAGCTATTGGAGTTTATTAAATATCTGGGTGATATGGTCAGACCTGCGCTTTAGGGAGATCAGTATGATAGCTGAGTGGATGATGGACTGAAATGTGGAGAAGCTTGAGGCAGGGAGATCAGCCAGTAGACTATTGCAGTAGTCCAGGCCTGCAGCTATGAAGACTTGGACCAGAGTGGTAGTAGTAACAGAGGAGTAAAGGGGGCATATATGAGAGTTGTTATGAAGATAGAAATGACAGGACTTGGCAACTCTTTAGATATGATAAATGAGAAAGAGGAGGAGAAGATGGCACTCTGGTTGTGAGCTTAGGTGAGAGAGGATATACCCGCAACAGTAACAGAGAACTTAAACCAGGCATGGAGAACTTGAGGCCACATGTGACCCTCTAGGTCCTCAAGTGCAGCCCTGCACCTGAATCCAAACTTCACAGAACAAATCTGTCAAAGGGCCGCACTTGAGGACCTAGAGGGCCACATGTGGCCTTGAGGTCCCAGGTTCCCTACCCCTGATGTAGTAAGGTGTAGGTGGGGAAAGATGAGTTCAGCTTGGGACATGTTGATTTTAAAATATCTATGAGATACCAGTTCAGGGTATCCGTTAGGATGTTGGAGATGAAGACGAGTCTGATTAGTCAATCCAGAAGCATGTAAGTACTATGTGCCAAAAAAAGATGTTAAGCCCTGGGAATACACGTAGCGGAAAGACAGTTCCTTCCCTCAAGGAATTTGCTTTCTAATGGGGAAAGGCAACCACTTAAAAGGAAACTGAAGGGGCAACTAGGTGGCACAGTGGATAGAGCACCAGCCCTGGAGTCAGGAGGACCTGAGTTCAAATGTGACCTCTGACACTTACTAGCTGTGGGACCCTGGGCAAGTCACTCTACTCCAATTGCCTAAAAAAAAACAAAAGGAAACTGAAAGGGGTCGGGAGGAGATCAAGGTATCTGGTGGGGTAGAAGGGACTTCAGGTAGAGAAAGTTAAGAGCACAGCCTAAAGAAGAACGAGACGTGTTGACCTGGGCACCCTCCTTAACCCGAGTTCGGGGAGGAACTATCCAATCAAAGGAAAAGGGGTACAGGATACTTCCAACGTGGGGCTTCCATGATGAAAAAGTTTCTGGGGCAAGGTAGAGGAAGTGCAGAGTACAGCAATGAATTTATACCACGTGACAAGATAAAGGCTGTTGACTAACTTAATCACAGTTTCATTGTGTGCTCACATTACAGTGGGGATCAAGCAGTATGGTTCCCTGTCACTTCGGGTTTGGGATTAGACATACTTCCTCTTTAGGTTCTTTAAACACAACCTGTCTTTTAGAGGGGAAAGGGGCAGGAGGGAGGTTAGGGCTGGATAAGTAGGTGGAAGAATCATCTGCATAGAGATTATAATTGAATCCATGGAAGCAGATGAGATCACCAAGTGAAATAGCATAGAGAAAAGAGAACCCAGGATTGGGGGCGGGGGTATGGGGGAGTGCCAGCAGGTGTGATGTGGCTAAAGATCCAATAACAGAGACTAAGAAGTAGTCAGGCTGGTAGGAGAAATGAGACTGGCAGCATGAAAACCTAGAGAGATGAATCCAAAAAGAGTGGGTGATTGACAGTGCCCACTCCAGAAATCAAGAAGAATGAGGATTGGGAAAAAGGCGTTAGATTTAAGAGATCAGTGGTTGCTTTGAAGGCAGCCGTTTCCGTTGGATGATGGGGTTGGAAGAGTGAGAGGAAAGGAAGTCTTGTAGACAGTCTTCTCGAGGGTCTTAGTTACAATAGAGAAGAGAGGTGGAGAACCTGGATTCTCTGCCAAACCCAAACACTAAAATTTTATTACACCCTGAAACTCCACTCTTGGTGTTAACATAACCTTTATTCCCTTTTGCCTCTGGGGCACTTTCTCTGGCTATCCACCGTCCCTTAAATGTTCTTCCTCTTCATCTCCACCTCCTGGCTTCTCTGGCTTCCTTTAAGTCCCAGCTAAAATCCCACCTTCTATAGGAAGTCTTTTCCAATCTCTCTTAATACTAGTGTCTTTCTGCTATTGACAATTTCCTCATTTTCCTGCACGTGGCTTGTATGTAAATATTTGCTTGTTCTTTCCCTCATTAGATTGTTAGCTCTTTGAGGGGAAGGACTCTTGCCTTTCTTTGTATTCTCAGCGCTTAGCACAGTGCCTGGCATTGAGTAGGGGTTTAATAAATGCTTATTGACTGACTGACTTC